TTTTTTGTATTTCGTGATTCGAAAAATCAAGGGAGAAGAGAGAAGGGATTTTAGTTTAAATTCCACCCCCCTGAAATCTTGTTTTGTTTTTGTTTTTCATTGTTCGAAAATCAGAGGAGTGGAGACTTTTTACGACGCAATCACGTACAGTAGCATGTTTTTGGCTTGAATATGTTTTTTTGTTGTGGCACGGGCTCGGCCAAGAACCCCATGTCTTGTAGCGGGAGGCTAGGGGAAGCGGCTTCGGCCTGCGAGTACCCGACGCCTCCCATCTCGAGTGCGTGTGGCAAGGGGCTAAGCCGAAAACCCCATGTTTTCTAGTGGAGGCTAGGGAGGCTGCAAGGGGGGGCTTCAAGGGGGGATCAGAGGAAGCTGCAAAGGGAGCTTTCAAGGGGGGCTTGAAAGGGGGGTTTGAGACGCGGGCGTAAACGGCGCGAAGAAGGCCCAGGTACTAGGCCTCTTAAACTGCTCCCGGAAACCCGTACAGGGAGCAGTTTAAGAGGCCTCATAACTGGGCCTGCTTCGCAGAGGTTTCAGGAAGCAGTTTAAGAGGCCTAATAACTGGGCCTTCTTCGTGAGGTTCCAGGGAGCAGTTTAAGAGGCCTAATAACTGGGCCTGCTTCGCAGAGGTTTCAGGGAGCAGTTTAAGAGGCCTAATAACTGGGCCTTCTTCGCGAGGTTCCAGGGAGCAGTTTAAGAGGCCTAATAACTGGGCCTGCTTTGCAGGGGTTTCAGGGAGCAGTTTAAGAGGCCTAATAACTGGGCCTTCTTCGCGACGTTTCGGCAGCAGTTTGAGAGGCCCACTAACTGGGCCTTCTTCGCGAGGTTCCAGGGAGCAGTTCAAGCGGCCTAATAACTGGGCTTGCTTCGCACGGGTTGCAGGGAGCAGTTTACGAGGCCGAGCACCTGGGCCTTCTTCGCGACGTTTAGGCTCGCGTCTCAAACCTCCCCTTCAGGCCCTCCTTGAAGCCTCCCTGTGAAGCTTCCCTTGAAGCCCCCCCTTCAAGCCCCCCTTGAAGCCCCCCTTGAAGCCCCCCTTCAAGCCCCCCTTGAAGCCCCCCTTGAAGCCCCCCTTGAAGCCCCCCTTGAAGCCCCCCTTCAAGCCCCCCTTCAAGCCCCCCCCTTCAAGCCCCCCTTCAAGCCCCCCTTCAAGCCTTCGACCCTTCGCCTCCCCCCCCTCCCCCCTTCACCCCCCCCTTCAAGCCCCCTTCAAGGGTCCGACCCTTCAGCCCCCCTTCAAGGGGGGCTTCAAGCCCCCCTTCAAGCCCCCCTTCGTACGAAGGGGGCGGGCCCAGCCCCTATGCAGCTTTCCAGAACTAAAACTTAAGAGAAGGGCCTACGAAAAACCAAGTTGTCAGCTTTTAACTTTGGCGACAAGACATCCTACGGCCTGTGGCATATGCTGCAGGCAGGCTGTCTTGCATCTGGTGAAGTGTCTCATCTTTGCTTTCGGCAAGAATTGCCCCAGCATAGCAAACGGTGGTTGGAGGTAGTATGAAGCCGAGCTGCAAGGATTAACGGTTTTGTGCTTTAGTGGTTGCAGAATCGTGCGAAGCCACCGCGCCGACATCACGCGTTTGCTCGATACGCGCAAAAGGTTGTGGAAGTTGCTATTGATGTTAGTGCCGTTTACGCATGCTTGGAGCATTGAATGGCCTTGGCGATGTCAATATTGGACATGGAAGCAAACTAGGAGCTTCCAGGAGAGTCAGAAGTCGCCGATCTACGAGTGTATGGTTGAAGCTTGTGCGCTGCATGCGAGGTAAGGACGAGTGGAAGGTAGTCTGTACTTTACTCCAGCTTGCTGAGGCCCTTGATGTCATTAGGTGCACCAAGGACCACCAACACTCTGCGAAGTTCGGCCTGAAAGCTTCTTAACACCACCCCGAACTTTTGTGTAAGACTGTTCTTCGAATTCTTTCCAGTTTGTAAAGCCGTTTGTCTCAAGCGAGTTTGCTGTCTGTATAGAGAAGGAGCCGCTGTCGCTTGTTGAGCGTGTGGGAGTGGGGTCAATCGTTGCATTGGCGACCGCATCGAGAGCAGTCTGGGATTGTGGACTGTGCGTTTTGAGCAGCAGGTCGTTGTGCTCTTGGTAGTGACAGCATTGTGTATTCTTTTGCTTGGAATGAGTTGTATCACCTAAAGGATGACCCGCACCTTGAGCAAAACAGGCCTACGGTCAAGAACCTTTGCATGTATTACTTGGATAGGGGTGTGTGTTTTCGAGACTCAGCGGGCAAAACCTTCCACGGCCAACGCGCTGAGTGCGGAGGCTTCGAGCCCAAAGGGGGTGTAGATGGTCAACGTTTTGTGGGCTCGCAGTTCTGCATAGGAAGTGCGTAGTGTAGAGGTCCGTTGCCACGCCGTTGAAGTGTTTTGCATTTGTTTGGAGCTGTGCAAGCACCTTGAGTGGCACTTGAGTTGTGTGAGCTGTCTGCGACTATGTAGCTTCGTTTTGAGAGAGTGTTTAAAGCCCAGAGTTTGACCTAGGAAGCCCCACATGCAAACGCATGTTGTTTGGCTCAAGACCGGAGTCTTGTGTAAGCGCGAGAAAGCTAAAAGAAGTGTTTGGAGTGCCTGTGAGCTGTGTGACGTAAGAGGGTTACTTGCACTTGGTACTTTGGAACGCGAGTGGGTTGCTTGTCTTGTGCGTGACTTTGGTCTTTTACGCATTCGCTCATGCGTAAAAAAGTGCTGCTCCGGCCAGGGATTCGGAAAGCAGTAGTGGCCACTAGTTCTGTTTTTTTGAAAGCTTGCGGTTTTTTGGCCAATTGCCAACTTCTTGGGTCCTGTGGCGGCTCTCCACTGCTTGCAGTTTGGACAGGGGGGGGAGGGGTCGTATCGTTTTTTTTGGTTTGTCCAGGCACACCCTTTAAGCCGTTCCCATGCTATGTAGTCCCTCCCTTTTTAGTTCAGGGACGTTTAAGCATCTCTATATACCTGTGCCTTGAGACGGAGCACTTTGAAGAGTTAGAGGATGGCTTTTCCAGCACAGGAGAGTTGGCGCCCGGCCGCACTTGGGGAGAGAAGGTGCGTCGTTAAAACGCCACATCGTCTGCGGGAGAGAACCTCTTTCAAAGACCTGCGGGTGCGCAAGCCGGGGTTTTGAAAGTGTGACTGTAACTGAGCGCCTCTGGGGGCGTCTTGGCCTGTTTGCCAGTCGGAGTTCTGCACACAAGTATCTTTGGGTCAGGAAGCCCATTGCATGTACCACTGTGACTACCGACTCTTGCCATTTTTGACGTGTACTGGCGTGTAAAGAATGCGCTTTGCAACACGTAGATCCTGGGAGCCTCTTCTTCTGTGACTTAGGCAAACATGCTTTTCCTGGTGCTGCTGTTGCTGTCGCCGTTGTTGCTGCTGTTGAAAATTCTGCAAGCTCGGAGCATGTTGAGCAAGTCAAGACGCAGTGACCCTAAACCCTTCACCATGAACTCCGACGTGGGGTTTTTCGTGGGATCAAGCAATTGAGTTCCCAAGCGTCTCGGTAAAGGTACGAACCCATGTATACTGCCATAGTGACAGCAGCCGTTTTTGCAACTTCAAGTTGCAGAGATTAATTGGGAAGCATTGTCGCAACTACACTTGTGAAGTTGAGACTGTTAGCCCAATGCCAGAGTTGCACACTGAGTCTTCACTGCTGCTGCATGACTCACAATTCCCCGCTTCCCCCATGCAGGCAATGTTTGACATCTGGGTCTTCGCAAAGCTGAGTGTTCTCCGTGGCCCACACTGTCAACCTTTCCTGCATGGGGTGAAGGGGGAATGTCTGCCAGGGGCATGGTTTTTTGCTGTGCGTCTGTTTCTCATGGTCCGGTTAAATCTTTTGCTGCCACGTGGACATAGGGGTCCGGCGCCGGTCCGCGTTGACATTTTCCAGGTTGAGCTTGAGAAAAGTTCAGGCAGCGCAGAAGACTGGGGCTCTGGAAAAAACATAGGACGCGTCAGAGTAGCCCCTCCAGTACGTTGAAGCTGACCTTTGCCACGGACATTCGAGCCTGCAATGAAAAACCGCGTGATGCTCGGATCCGGATGGCATCTAGAAAAAACTATGGTGAGGCAGACGGTCAAGGCAAGAACGGCTGCACTGGAAACACTTGCGGAGAAACATCGCTTGGCGTGGCTTCTGCAAGATGTACAACAACAAGCTGCTTGGAGTGGCTTAGGCGGGCGAAGGAACAAGAAGTGTGTGGCGAGTTGCAGATACGGACTTGGCCATTCTGCAGCATTCTCAGCCTTCAGTTGCGTGCCGCTTGGTTCGACAAATTGATGTCGGCACGGTTGGACAGTGTCCGCTCATCTCACTGCCCCCTCCTTGTTCCAACTCTTGACCGCAGATCGCAAGCAGATCACAAGCCGAAGAGACTCGGTCTACGCAAGCCACCGGCACACAAGAACCACCAAAAGCACTGAAGTGGCCAGCGTGCTCTTGCAACATGAATCGATGCATTTCACAATGTGGACTAGTCACACAGTTGAAAATACATGCACATGTTGCTTGACCACTGCAGGCTTGGCGCATGCAAGAACCCTGGTGTTTCTGCTGGAAAAAATTCAAGCTGAGGCTCACTACGTTCAAAACGCAAGTGTGTTTGTGAAACACTGCTTACACCGCGGATGCAGCACCAAAATGCTTGTCGGTGCATTGTTCAGAGTGGCCTTGAACAGTCCTCCCACAACGCGTAGTCCGTTCCTCTTGACAGTGCAAAACTACGTTTGCTCAAGCTGTTAAGCCAGCTGTTCGTGGATTTGAGGTTCTGAGGCTTCAAGCGGTGCTCCAATACTTGTTTTTGTTTTGACCTGTAGGGAAAGAGTAGCGTGTTGACGCAGTTCCTTGGGTGCATCAAAAGCACTCAAAGAAGCCGTGTTTTTGACTGACGCCAATCTGGTTGCCGTGCCATCTGTTGCGACCTTTGCTGTTCGAGCCAGCCCAGACGAGAAGCGCGTCTAACTGCTACTGATCGGGGTATTCCATCTCACCCAATTGCTGATCAACCGTCATGGCTTCTGGCGACCAACCGCCGATGGGAAGCTCGCCGACGCTTGGAGCAGAACCAACTAGCCACAGGGTTTTCGTACGCGAAGGATTGTTCAATTATTCTTCCCCTAAAGAGACATCCACTATGAATCATGAATTCCCTCATCCCGAATCTTCGTTCAAGTGAGGCCGGCACCACCTGCGGCTGCGGGGGATCCTTGGAGATGAAGATGGCATGTAGCACGTCGCGTATGCTGTGTCTGTCGACCCAAAGTGCGTCCTTTGTCCCAAATGTTGAATCTACCTTAGCCCTTAACACTGAGAATTCCCATTACAGGAACAGGAACTATAGTACAGTTTACATGGTGTGAAGTTACAATGTTTGGGGTACGGGTGTTTGTTGTCGCTACGAGTCAAATGCGGCTTACAAGTCAGAGGAGTTCCCGAAACTTCAACTGGGCTTCAGGCCCGGCAGCCGCGGTTGGACAGCCATTCAGGGGCGCTAAGCATCGGCAAGCTTGACGTCCAGGCGGATGACGAAGTAGCTGCACCGCACGTTCCACTAAGAGCGATCTCTAGAAGGCGCTGGCTTCTGAGATCGTGCTAGTAGGGAGAAACGCTTTGTTGCGCCGGGTCCTCAGCCGAAGGAGCCTGTGATCTCGCACACACTCTAGGAAAGGGCGCAGGTTGCTGGAGCGACCTCTTGGCTCTTGAAAGCAGCACGTAGAAGTGACGACAGGCCAGAGGGCCAGAGCATGTGAAAGGCGAAGCTTGAACTGCCTCACGTGCCTATTTCCTAGCTGCAACTCGCCATCATCTCGCGCCTTATCCAAGCACTCGCAGCGCCCCTTTCGCCGGTTCCATGTTTGTGTCAAAAAAAGGGTTTCGCGACATGAAAACAAAGCTTGTCTGTGCAGTGCCGTCTGTTCTCTGCCTGGAGCGGTTTGCGTGGGACAGAAGGGCACGGGATGGCACGGGTGTGGCCCAAACCTCTAGCTGAAGGCGCAATGGAGTTGCATGTACATGTTGAATGCAAAGCTGAGAAATCTCTATCAGAGGCCCGTGTGCGCGCACAACGTTTGTGGCCACGTGTAAAGATTGTAGCACGCCATGAGCTTTGGAGGAGACATTCTCATCTGCAGGCTGACACGCAGTCGAGCTGTGGCACTTGTGTTCTTTGCCATGTTCCGAAGATTGTCTGTGCCGAAACACCCTACCCTCAACCCTGAGCCTTGCAGGGTGCGTTGGCAAGTGCCCAAGAAGATCAAGAAGAAGCCATCCAGGTCATGGGGGAAGCTGCAGCAGGCACAGATTGCCGGAATGCAGGTTTATTGGGCGTCTGCTCCGGTTCCGTGACGTTCATCCAAAAAGACACGAGAGAACCTTCCGCCCATGGGGTCTACGCCTGCCATTTGTTGTTTTTCAGTACCCGAACCCATTCGCTCTTAAGCTTGTCTGCCATAGGCAGCTCAGAGCAAGTGAGGCTCGGTCCGTGAGCGTTAAGACAGCCGGCAGCCCCTGCCATGAAAGAAGAACGCAACTTGATCATGAGTGAGAATTCCCTACACAATCCTAAGACCTAAGCCCAAAATACCCTCCTTAAATGCTGAAACCTCCGCTCTCCAGGCCTCGCCGCGGTGTGCCCTGGTGCCACGAAGCCAGCTGGCAGCACTCCGGAGCAGGCCGATCATGGCATGTCATAGGCAAGACAAAGTAGGCCGTAACTTCGGCTCGGGTCGCGCTGTCCCCCTGTGAGTTCACAGGTCGAGGCTGCCAACGAGCCGCCTGGATCAAGGTAAATCAAAAGGAAAGGCGTGGATGCACGTGTATATTTAACATTGATATGTGTTATGATTATATATGTCAATATATATATATATATACGCATAAACTTTTGTTTTCTCTTTAAAAACCTTCCATGTTTGTATTTCATTTACACTTTACACAGCGAATTGCAGTGAATTGCACTGAGTGCCTTCCTTCGATCCATTCTGAGGCCACTTCCCGCCCTGTACGGGTCGGCCCAGGAGGCGTACGCGATGGAGACACTTGCTGTTGGTTAGTAGGGACTGAGGGAATGAGGTACCCTGCATCCCCCCCCCCCCCCTTAAATACCCTTTAAGAGGGATTACATAGGGTACCTCATTCCCTCATTCCCTACTAGCCAACAGTAAGGACGCTGCAGCCGCTGACCATGGACCTGGTCATGGAGCTGCTCAGTGAGATGCCCGAGGCCAGGGGGGGCCACCCAGAACTGTGATCTCAGAGCTCAGCCCTCAAACCCTCATTGAAACCTAGAAGACCTAGAAGACCCGAAAGCCCGAAAGCCCTAACTAAACCCAAACCCTAAATACCGGGAAACGTATAACCCCAAAACTCAGACAGAAGAACGTTTTTCAGGCCCAGCTCGGGCTTGAGGCGCCGCAGAGTGCCCCCTCTTAAACCCCAAACCTTAAAACCCCAAACCCCAAACCCCAAACCCCAAACCCCAAACCCTAAACCCTAAACCCTAAGCCCTAAACCCTAAGCCCTGAACTCGCCATCACTCGGGGGCCCGGTGCTTCCTTTTTGACACTCTGAGAGGGCTCCTGTTCCCCACATGTCGCAGCAGTGCCCCGAAGTATCTTTCAACCCCCTACTCTACGAGTTTGGGGTTTGGGGTTTTAGGGTTTAGGGAAGCCTGCTTAGAGGTTCATGGGTAGTCACAGTCCTGTTTGGTGTACTTATAACCCTACTGACAACTACCCATGAACCTCCAAGTAGCCCTCGATCCCAAACCCGTTTTTCCCTCGACTCTAGACCCCTTTCAACCCTCTCAGCCGTCTTAAGCCCCAAGCCCCAAGCCCTATAAACCCCATACACCCTATAAGCCGAATGGACCCTGAATCCTTAACCCTCTAAGCTCCCAAGCAGCTGCCCTCGACTCCCCGAAGCAAGTCTCCGGATCTCCCACCAGGATCCGATGGGTTTCGCCATCGGCTGGCTGCGCCGACGTGCGCCGCACCGGGAGGGCCCCGGCCCTTTGTCCCTCCGCCGCCGGAATGATGTCCTGAAGCAGGAGCTCGCCTAGGTTAGGGAAGCTGTGTGAGGGAGTTGTTGTCCTTGGTGCGGGAGTAGTGTGTGAGTTGTTGCTCTTTGCCGGTGCTTGCTGGTGCTTCAAGGCAGCTTGCTCAAGAGAGAAAAAGAGGATCAGACATCTCTCGCAGCTTGGGGCTTAATTCAGGCCCCGACTGAAATCCCGGCTTCGAGACGTGAGGAAGGTACAGCGAACTGACCCGGATCCAGATGCAGGCAATTCCAATTTTTGCCCCATGCTACATGAGCTATCGCCGGGACTCAGGCGAACTTACACTTCAGAGAAACCAGTGTGTCGAGCTTTGCCCGACCCTCGGTCGCAGAAATTGACGTCCTGGAGCGGTGCATCTGCCTCCAAGAACACATCGGTTTGTCGCAGAGCAGACTCCGCGTACATCCCGATCCGTTCACACCTCGATGTCCTGAAGACACCAGATTTCTGAACAACTGTGGTGGGGAAAAACGAAAACCCAGGAAAGGTGCTTAGCTTTGCCGAAGTGGAGCCTGCCCCACAGGAGGTCTCCGAACTTGAGGGCATCCTGGCGGCGCATGCGGTGCAGGCCCGTGCTCACCCGGCATCTGCATGGGAGTTTCTTCCCTGACTGTTGATCTCCTGATCCAGAGACGGACCCCTGAAACACCGAAAAGCCCTGAAGTTCCGGAACTTCCTAAGCTCATGAACTTCCTACACTTCCTTGGCCCTCAACCCTAAACCTCCTTAACCCTATACCCTAACACCCCTAAACTTCCTAAATCCCAAAATCCTAAAATCCAAGAACTTCCTAAGCCCTAAAACCCTAGACTTCCTAAACTCCCTAAGCATCACAGAGGCCACCTCGCCATCGCCGGAGCCTCTGTTGTTGGGGGCTTTTGCCACATTTTTTGACATCGTTCGCGCCTTCCTCAAATGCGGGTAGTAGGGGGATTGTAGGTAGTGTTTTTTTTTAAAATTTATTTATTATTTTTTTTGTTTTTTTATGGGGGTTTGTGGGGCTTAGGGGGGTTTATGCGGGTTTACGGGGGTGTATGGGTTTAGGGTAGCTGTCTCCAGCTTTGGTAACCCAGGTACTTCGGGTTGATGTTGCCACCCCAGGACGAACTCCAAAGCCTCTCTCTTCTCCAATCCCCGCAGATATGTTCACCAGCAAAAAGGTTTCAATGAACCCATTGATTACATTGATGGCTTGAGGACGGGAGCTTTTGGCTACCCGGCGCCCAGAGAGCCGGAACCTCAAGAAGGGTTGAAAAGGATAGCAAGTTTGAGAAAAGTTTTATAAGCAGTGCTGGGAAGTTTGAGAAAGTGTTGCAAAGTGCTACATCGCCGCCAGTCGCAAATTCGTGACTAGTTGTGGGTGCGCGGTGTGGAGGGTGTGGAGGGTGTGGACAGCTTCTTGGCCAACCAAACCGACAGTTGCGTCCCAGCAAGACGAGGCATGTCTAGGCAAACCTTTGGACCTTCTGGCAGATCCTTCAAACGTCATGTTGATCTAAGACCAAGCCCTCGAGACTGGACCCCTCCCTCCCTGCAAAGGGGGGCCTTGATTTCGAGCCTTTTGGACTCCAAAACTTCGTTCAAGTGAGGCCAGCGCCAGTGGTGGCTGCGGGGGAGCCTCGGAGATGGAGATAGCACACGGCATGCCAAGCTATAGTGATTTTGTCTTATGTGTGTTATGTGTGCCTGAACCTTCGAGGGGGCTCGATCATTCCCCGTGTTTTTTATTGTTTAGGCTCCCTTCTATGCAGCGCCCCGGTGTCTTAGAAGCAAGGCACCCTGGCACCCCCAGCCTCCAGAGAGCTCTGCCGAGACTTGTTGCTCTCCTTTCCCTAAAACTAAAACCAACCCTGAAGCCCGAATTGTATTCCCATTCGGGTATATGATCGTTTGTTAATTTAAACATGTTGTTGGGTAGAGGGGAGGATTTGAGTACTGGGAGGGCCAAACTAGCTACCAGCCAAATGATCCAAATGCAGGGCTTTGCAAGCCATCAAGCCTCTTCTGGCTGCCAAATGCCGGCTTTCGTCGAGATCTTAAGGGCTTTTGCTTTCTAGAGTCTTGTCGATCATTCGATAGAGTCGCAGGCCGCCAAAGATTTTGCAAAAGTGCGGACGGAGGCCTTGCGGCTGGATCGACTCCCGGGGCTGGAGAGCGGCTCGGCGCCCGAGGCGGATTGCGGTGGCGGCGGCGCCGGCGCGTCGGACGTCCAGGCGGACAGCGAAGCGGGTTCACTTCATGCACCGTGCGTCCCAAGGAGCGACCTCTAGAAGGGGCTGATTTGTTTTGTGAACGTGCTAGGTGGAGAGGCTTTGCAGCAAGGGAGTCTTAGAGCAAGCGTTCACAAAGCAACCAGGTGCTTGTTTTTGAAACAGCTGCATCTTGCCATCATCCCGCGCTCTTTGCAAAAGCCCTAGAAGCGTCCTGCAGATTCGACGTTCTCTCAGCAGCGTCTTAGCAACGCGGAGACTAAGCGTTCAATTTGCAATCGCCACCTTGACTGCAAAAGTGCAATGCCTCTGGCCATTTGCAAAGATTGTTCAGCGGTTAGCACGCTGTCGAGCCGCAAGACCATTGTCCTGAGCCATGTCCTTAAGATAGTCGGTGCTGGTTAAGTTGAGCCCTCTAAACCTTATAAACCCGAATCCCTGAGCCCTGCAGGGTGGGTTGACAAGTGCCCATGTCGAAGCCGTGCAGGTCACAGGGCAAGCCGCAGCAGGTGCAGATTGCCGGGATGCAAAGCTCAATTCCAGGGGTGCGCGTTGGCTTCAGTTGGCTTCGGTTGGGTCTGCGCTGTGATGTCAGTGCCGGAAAATGACAGACACTTCGAATGGGGTCTACTCCAGCTTCTCAGCACCCGAACCGTTTCGCTTGCAAGCTGCGCTCCGCCAGAGGCAGCGCAGAGCAAGTGGCGCTTCAGGGGCAGGGCATGGACCAGGCACAGCCAGCTGAGAAGGTGGCCGCGACAAAGACAGGCTGGGGGTCCATGAGTGTTCAAGCCAGCAGCTTGCAGCCTTCGCGACAAAGACACATGAATCGGTCATGCGGACACGCGGAGAGAGAACCCAACTCTCACTGCAATCTTCCGCTCTCCAGGCGTCGATGCCACGAAGCCAGCCGGCATGCCGGAGCAGGCCGATCATGGCTTGTCATCACCCTGGTCTGCCTTCGAGGAGGCGTTAGCTGTTGGGTTCTTTTAATGTTTTGGATGCCTCAAGGCAACGTAGGCCACAACTTTCAAGAAGCGTGGGTATGGGTGGGTTGCTGAGCTCGGCATTCGGGCAGTGTGGAAGAACTCGGATGTCTAAAGACGTCCAATCCAATTCTCATGGAGGCAAGCCAAGAAATCATGGTTGTTGTCGCATGCCGCACCTCATGGCAGAGCTGGGGTGACAACTGCACTCCCGTGTCACACCCAAGCTTCAGCTACTCCTGTGCAAACTTCCAGGATGGGCTGCCATCCGGTTTCCAGGTGTGTATCGTCCTATCATCCATGAGGGCAAAGAAAGCGCCCTAAAGACCCTATAACTTTCGGGAACGACGAAGCGCACAGTGCTCGGTCGCAGGAAGCGGAAGCTGAAGAAGTGAAGGCCGGCGTGGTTTGGGGCCATCAGGGTTCAGGGTTTAGGGTCTTACTAGGTCTTAGATCCCCCGTTATACAGGACCTTTCAAGGAGCGCAAGTGAGAGAGAAGCGGGTTGTTTGCCGCATGACCTCACCAGGCCTGGGCACCCAGAGTCACGGCACGGTTTAGGGTTTCGGGTTTAGGGTTTAGGGATATATGGCTTACGCTTACCAGATGTTCAGCCCGAAGGCCTGCTGCACAATGCACTGTAGTATGTGAGATCATCTGCATCAGGCTCTGGTACTGCCACTCTCTGTGCCACGTAATGCCATATAGGAATGACATGACATGAGAGGAAAGTACAGATGACATGTAGTGCAGTAAAGTAAATGAAAAGAATGTTATGAATGTACGAAAAGCAGCACTGTAGCGCTACAGTGACCCCTCGCTTGAACCCAAAGCCTTTCCCGTTCGCGGAAGGCGAAGAAACCATGCATTTTCTGCCGCGCACAGGCCCAGTACAGCCTGCGGGATACTGCCGGCCTGGTCGGCTTCTGCAGGGACGCAGACGTGCGGCTCCTGCGGCCCCAGTACTTGCAAGAGCTGCACGAGGCCGGACGCACGTGGCCCCGCAGGCAGGAAGCGGAGCAGGAGTACACGAAGGATGGGAAGGAAGCGCTCTACACGCAGGAGGAGCTGCAGGAGAAGGTCTGCCTGGGGTGGGAGCGCTTCACGGTCTTCGCACTGTCGCATGTGTGGGAAGCCCGTGAGCATCCGGATCCTGCTCGGCACCAGCTCCGGCCTCAGTCGTGCTCAATGTGCAAGTATCATCTTATTTCCTTGGCGGAAGTTGTGGTAGCGGGTGTAGCAGGTGTAACGGAAAGCTTGGCTTGGAGCCTGCCTTGCATCTGACCTGCCAGGGCGTCGGCACCTGTCAAGCAGTCACGGCGCGTTGCCGGCGCTGAGGCTGGGAGTCCTGGTGGAAGCGCTGCGCAACTTCCGGGACTTCTTGCGGAAGCTCGCCCCTGTGGAGTCGGAGAGGGTCCACGCCGACTGGGAGGCGGCCATTCCATGGGTTCTAGCAGCATGCTGCGCAAAAACGCACTCTTCGCTATGACTGGCGCGTTGGCAGTTAGCGGCCCTGTTGAGCTCTTCAATGGTACAGCTTGTCTAAAATCAAACCAGCTCCACCCTGTTCTGTTTTGAGACAGCACGTACTTTCTGCAAGGATCAAAATGTGGGGCAGGGTGGGTTATGATGTGTCTGGCATATGTCCATTGATTCAATCTTTGCCAGGCCGCGGTCTTCATCGACTACAGCTCCCTCTACCAATTCCAGCGGTTGCCCGACCAGGACGTGCCAGCTCGGTAAGCTTAGGCCATGGCAGCCGGTAGCCCAGCCACCCTTGACCCGCAGCCTCACAGAAAACTTAAAACGGTGGGCCAGGATGCGTCCTTCAAGAAAGCCATGGGCAATATGCATGTGGTCTACTCGCACGACGAGAGCTTCACTTTGCGGATCGAGGGCCTCACCCCGGGACTCCACGACCCCGACCGGCCCAGGGCCGAGCTTTGCCATGAGAAGGTGTCCGTCTTCCACGTGCCCAGGAACGCCGTGGTGGACGTGTCCTTAGCAGAGCTCCGTGACACAAACGAGGAAGGGAAATGCTGCCCATCCTGCGGGCAAGCCTGCGCCCAGCTCCACGGCAACAGCGTGGAGTACCAGCGTCGCGGCTGGTGCTCCGCCGAAGCACAATGGTCCGCCGCGAGGGCTGCTCCTTGGCACAGCATCCCCATCCCCTTCCGGGAGGGGGCGGCGGGCACCGCCCCCATGGCGCCGGAGGACTTCCGGGCCTTCGCGGAGAAGGGCCACCTGCGCTTCACCCACCGCTCCGACCTGGAGCCGGTGGTCCGATTGCAAGCCCAAGTCTTCCAAGAGAAAGCGGCCGCTTGCACGAGCCTGGTTATTGATGACCTGTCACTCGACGGGGTGAAGACCCTTACCCGCGCTTTGCCCCACTACCCCAAGCTGGAAGAGCTTCACGTTTCTCGCAGCCAGCCAGGGACTGCGTTCGAGGCCCGGGCGGCTTTTTGTTTTATCGTGAAGCTCCTTTCCCTCATCTCCTGGGCCCAGGGCCTGGTGCGGGCGCTGCCGCCTTGTCTGCGAGAGCTGAAGCTGGTCGCTTGTGACCTCGGGGACGCAGAGGCGCAGGTCCGACCTGCACGTACACACGGAATGGCTCTTGATCGACAAGGGCCAAGTCAGACGATGCCCCCCTTTACTGCACATTGGCTTGCCTGTTCCGGGTAGCAGGGTCTCGGGAATGGTTTCTGAAGTGGTCTATCCTCGTACCGTTGGAACCGATTCAGACCTGTGGTTCGGGCCACGGCCCCACAAATTGGCACTTTAGGCTTCAAACGTGTTACAAGTCGTGGGCAATCCTGCGGTAAATGTCTTCGTTTTCGGCCATCCCAGCAACTGCGTCAGAAACTGTGTTGCTTTCGGCCCGGACAACCTTTGAATCCTTCTCCGTTGGCCCACCTCGATCTTAGCCACAACGGCTTCGGCTTCGGGGCAGGGAATAGCGTGTAACCGCAGAGGATCCATGGAGTGCGCGTCCCCCAAAAACAACCCACTCAGAATCCCGCAGAGTCTGCCTGGAGTGCCTACTCGCCACAGAATCCGCAGAGAACCCCACAGAGCTCAGACAAAGAATCCTGCAAAAAACTCTGGTATTCCGAAGTTCGTGCTTGGGGGATCCGTAAGTACGAGTGGTCTCTTTGTCTCATCCTTCGGTTTTTGTACACATCGATCGCCGTCCACATTGGCGGACTGCAGGCCCCATTGTGTATATATATATATATACATGTGTATGTGAATCTCTTATGCAGCGAAGCTGGCCTCATAGTCGGTTTCTCAGCGTCTCTATGGGCTTTTATGCTTTGGCATGTTGGCATGCTCACAATGGTTGTGATCTCATTTGTGCTGAGCTTGGCAGAGTTGCTCAGGCGGCTGGTTGCGTGTTACTAAAGTCGATATATCTGCCGGACATGCTAGAAGACTAGAAGGCAGCCTTGGTTTGAATCCGCTTTTCGTTCTTTTGTGTGCTTGACTCTCTTTTGGCTTTGCTTTTCTGATTTGTTTGGCAGTCTACGTTGTGCTTTCTGTTGCTTGTTTGGCTTTGCCACGTCACTCCAAGTCTGCCGCTATATCAAAGCCAGGCCAAAGCCAAGCTATGCATTTAGTGGCTGCGCGCGTTGGCCTCCGCCCAAAACCAACAGCCCCGGCAAAGCCAAGCCGTCTAAACCATGCTTTTAAGCATTTCCCCTTTTGCTTCACAAGCAAACCTTGATGGAATGAAATACTGGGCAAAGTGAAAGATCGGATTCTTGTCGTTAAGCCGCCACCTCCCCATCCAACGTGCAGTACAAACTCTTAAACGATGTTCTTGTCCTTTTTTCGGCGGCTGCTTCATGGGGCATGTACTCTAGCTCTTGAAACCACCAGGGTTTAGTCCTTAGGTCATTTTGTCCTTTGGTCAAGCAGAGCAGGACTCGGATTCAAGCCGCCATGCATGCATGCTTCGCACGTACTGTAGTCTGTAGTGTATATACTCTTCTATCACATGTTTTCCGCATGCTCTATCGTACAAGTGTGAGTATAGCGCCTGGCAATGAACAGGAGAATCCCCCCAACTCCGCGGTGGATCCGGTGCAGGCCCTCGCCGACGGCCTCCAGGGCCACTCGGCGCTGGAGGTGCTGTGGCTCCACCAAAACCGCATCGGCGTCGCAGGTTTGCAGGCCTTGGGTTGGGGGAGCCCATGTGCGATGCTTTCCGCGGGGCAAGTGCAGCAGTCTGATAGCCTGGGTTTGTGCAGCATCAGATGAGACCTCCTCCGAACTTGAGCTCGGCTCACGCCTGTGCCGAAAAGGAGGGAGGTGGGAGAAATTCTGAAAGGGGTGCTGGGAGCTGGAAGCCAGGAGAGTTGGAGCCCTCCCCCAAAACCCTAAAATGAGTTTGAGCTGAGTTAGAAGCTCAAACCCGCTATTCGTCTGGAGTAGGCCCTGTAGGCCAGATTCAACGCTGGTGAAGGGGTTGTTCGGAAGCGATGCTGCGAGGGCAAGTCGTCGAGAGGATTGTAGTTCACCTCAAGCATCAGGCACTCCCAAACCGCAACACATTGAGCCAACGATATCCATTGGCGGATCCCGCAATTCACAAGGCAACGTGCAAACGTCGCCCTTCGGCATGTGCGTGTCTCCCTCGCAGGGCCAAATGTCTAGCATGAACGCCTGAGCTTTCTCTCTCGGCGCGCTCCTGCGCGGGGTGCGGCTGCGCAGGCCTTGGCGGGCGCCCTCCGCAGCCACGGCCGCCTCCGGAACGTCGACCTTAGCCACAACGGCTTCGGTGACGAGGGCGCCGAGGCCCGCGAGCTTGCCCTGACTGGGCCTGCTCGTCTGCAGACGTTTTGTAGAGGAGCATCTTGCTTTTTTCAGCGGCTGCTTCATGCAGCACCCAAAAGCGCACCTAAACTCTTGAAAAGTGGGCGCATCAGGCGCTGGGCGCCGCCATGGGCTCCTGGCCGCTCCTGCAGGAGGGTGTCTGGCAAACGATGTGATTGCAACGGACTTGCCTGACTTGTCTCGAGCTTCGAGGGGTGCAAGCTTGGGGATAGCAACCGAGAGAAGCGCCGCCGCCCCTCCAAACTGGAAGCTTGCAACCACAGAACTGCCTGCGAGGACCTGAACATTGGCGGGAACTCCATCGGCGACCTTGGGGCCAAGGCTCGCGGGGGACTTGTCAGGAGATGTGGGCGGAGGGTGTGGACCCCGGCCTTCTCCAGAATCTATGCTCCAGGGCCCCCAGAATTTTCAAGCTGATGGACATGGCAAACTCCTCGTCTAAGCCTTAAGCCCCAAAATCGATCAACGTCCTGAACCCCAAACATCCCTACAATCTGCAGACAGGTTTTCAGGGGTCAACTCGTGATTCGATTTTTGTCGAGTCGCCGGTCGGATTTCTTCGGACCATTTCGACTTTTGCTCGGGTCACGGTGGGGCTGCGCACCCGCCCCCCCTCTCGCCCCCACGTACACACAGAATAGCAAGAGCCGAGTCAGACGGTGCCCCCCCCCCCCCCCCCCCCCTTGTCTTATGGCTTGCCGTTCCAGGCTAGCAAGGTCTCGGGACTGGTTGATGCAGACCTGAGGTTCGGGCCACGTCCCCACAAACCGCCAGTTTAGGCTTCAAACGTGAACGTGTTGCAAATCCTTGGCGATCCTGTCGTAATTGTCTTCGTTTTCGGCCATCCCAGGAACTGCGTCGCTTTCCGGCAGGACAACCTTTGAACCCTTCTCCTTCGGCCTAAACACTCCGAGACCCCGATCTTAGCCACAGCGGCTTCGGCTTCGGACCTGTGCTCCTGGCAGAGAACGACCGCGGAGGATGCCCCCGGAGTGCTCTGCCCCCAAAAGCCCGCAGAGAATCCTGCAGAGCTCAGCCGAAGAATTTTTTCTGCAGGGACTTCTGATGTTCAAAAAGGTTGTGCTTGGGGATGACTACTAGCGGCCTCTTTTTGTCGCATCGTTCGGTGCTTCTTGGACACGGATCGGCGTCCACATTGGGGGACTGCAGTCCCCATTGTATATGAATTTTTGCAGCGAAGCTGGCCTCGTCGTCGGTAGCTCAGAGTTTACATGGGGTGTGCAGCTGGTTGGCATGCTCACAAGGGTTGTGATCTCATGTCTGCGGAGCTTGGCAAAGTGCATGGCTCAGGGGGCTGGGCGTTCAAAGTAGCGTGGTTGCGTGTTACTAACGTCGATATATCTGCCGGACATGCTATCAGACAAAAGCGCAGCCTTGGTTGAAGCTGGGCCTGTGTGCGAGTGGACCGCACCAGCAGCAATACCTAAATGGATGGGGTTGGCAAGGGTCAATACTGATGGCATGGAGGAGAAAGTACATAGACATCCCTTGCAGAGTACCCGAGAGGCCCTCGAGATTCCACTCGGACAGTCTGCAGTCATGCCATCCGGACATCCTGCAGACATTCCATACAGTGCCCACCCCCTGAGAATCCCCCCAGAGTACCCTTGGAGTGCCCATTCCTAAAGAATCTCGCCGAGTAACCCTGGAGTCCTGAGAATCCTGCCTGGAGCGCCCGCTGACAATCCTGCAGAAGCCCAACCTGCTTATGGTGCCACAGTTTTTGTAGAAAGCCTTCTTCCAAATCGCACGCAGAGAAGTGTCTCGAAAACAACAGTTGGAACCTGAGAACTTCACGTTCCGAGCCGCATTGTTCCAACTTTACTCGCTTACGAACTTTATAGCAGGTTTTAGAAACATTATTCGCAGACGATGCGCGAGCCATGGGTTGCTGTTGTGCACTGTGGACCTGACAAAGGGAACCACGGCGCAAATGCACGGAACCACACAACGCAAATCGTCAGGCCTGCATGCAAACTGGTGCCGCTTCACAAAAAACCCCCCAGGACAAGCTCAAAAGAACATCCCCGGACGGCCGCGCAACCCTGAAAACAGCCCGAGTTGCATCCCCCACCACACCGGAAGCCGAACCGGGAGCAGCTTGCCTGGAATTGGGGCTTCGCTTTTGGATCCCACCGTGGAGCTTTTCTCGATTATTTTGTGGCAGTGCAAAGCTGGAGTGCGCACACCCAGAGAATGCTGCAGAGACTTCCTCGATTCGTCATTTCGTCCCCAGAGAATCCCGCAGAAAACCCTGCAAAGCGCTGCATCCCTGTGTGCAACCCGGAAAATCCCGCCGAGAATCTCAAGAGTGCCCAGAGCGCCGAGTAGTTTTTATGGTTTTAGGGTGGGGATGTGGTGGAAATGATTTTACAGTGTTCTTTGCGCTTTTTGCTATGCCATGTAGCTCACAAAGGAATGCACATGATGTTAGTCTAGGTTTTCGAGTCTTTTGTTTTTCGTCTTGTGCTGCTTGATTTTTCACGTGCACCGTTTGGTGCCTTCTGCTTTCGTTCTTTTGTGTGTTTGACTCCCTTTTGGCGTTGCTTTACTGATCTGTTTGGCAGTCTACGTTGACCATTTTTGTTGCTGGTTTGGTCTTGCCATGTTACTCCAACCCTGCCGCTATATCAAAGCCAGGCCAAAGCCAAGCTATGCATTTAGGCTGCGCGCGTTGGCCTCCGCCCAAAACCAACAGCCCCGGCAAAGCCAAGCCGTCTAAACCATGCTTTTAAGCATTTTCCCTTTTGCATCACAAGCAAACCTTGATAACATGAAATAAAGTGAAAGAGCTCATTCTTGTCATTAAGCCGCCACCTCCCCATCCAACGTGCAGTACAAACTCTTGAAGCGATGTTCTTGTCCTTTTTTCGGCGGCTGCTTCATGGGGCATGTACCGTAGCTCTTGAAACTAGGGCGTGCCGGGGTTTAGTCCTTAGGTCATTTTGTCCTTTGGTTAAGCAGGGCAGGACTCGGACTAGAGCTGCCATGCATGCACGCTTCGTACATACTGTTTTCTGAGTGTTTTCTGTAGTGTATATACTCTTCTATCACATTGTTTCGCATGCACTATCGTAAAAGCTCGTAAAAGTGTGAGTATAGCGCGTGGCAATGAACAGGAGAATCCCCCCAAGCAACTCCGCCGTGGATCCGGTGCAGGCCCTCGCTGACGGCCTCCAGGGCCACTCGGCGCTGGAGGTGCTTTGGCTCTTTCAGAACCGCATCGGCGACGCAGGTTTGCAGGCCTTGGGTTGGGGGAGCCCATGCCCGGTGCTTTCCCGCAGGCAGTGAGAGGTGCAAGTGCAGGTTGAACATGTCTGAACTTCAGCTCGGCTCACTCCTGTGCCAAAAATGGAGAAGTGTCAGAAACCCTGACAGGCGTGCTGGGAGTTGGAAGGAACCCTGCCATCATGAGTCTTTCTATGTGATAGGAACTCTCTTGACAAGGAACCCCATGAAGAGACCTACCAAATGACCCTTGGGACCTTAATGACTTCTCGCAGGAGTTAGAAGCCCCCTAGCCCGAAAACCCTAAATGAGTTGGAGCTGAACTTGAATCTCAAACCTGTTGTTCATCTGGACGCAGGCGTTGGGCGCCGCCATGGGCTCCTTGCCGCTCCTGAAGGAGGGTGTCTGGCAAAAGGTGAGTGCGACGGATTTGCCGAGCTTCGAGGGGGTGCAAGCTTGGGGATAGCAACCGAGAGAAGCGCCGCCGCCCCTCCAAACTGGAAGCTTGCAACCACAGAACAGCCTGTGAGGAGCTGGACATTGGCGGGAACTCCATCGGCGACCTTGGGGCCAAGGCTCGCGGGGGACTTGTCAGGAGATGTGGGCGGAGGGTGTGGACCCCGGCCTTCTCCAGAATTTATGCTCCAGGGCCCCCAGAATTTTCAAGCTGATGGCCATGGCAAAACCCCTCGAAGCCTCTAAGCCTCTAAGCCCCAAAAATCAATCAACATCCTGAACCCCAAACATCCCTACAAGCTGCAGACAGGTTTTTTTTGGGCCAACTTGTGATTCGATTTTTGTCAAGTCGCCGGTTGGATTTTCGGACTCGGCTTTTGCTCGGGTCATGGTGGCGTTCCCCCCGCCCCCCCGCCCCCCCTCTCCCCCACGTACACACAGAATAGCAAGAGCCGAGTCAGACGGTCCCCCCCCCCCCCCCTTGTCTTATGGCTTGCCGTTCCAGGCTAGCAAGGTCTCGGGACTGGTTGATGCAGATCTGTGGCTCGGGACACTGCCCCACAGACCGCCAGTTTAGGCTTCAAACTTCAAACGTGAACGTGCTGCAAATCGTTGGCGATCCTGTCGTCAGTGTCTTCGTTTTCGGCCATCCCAGGAACTGCGTCGCTTTCCGGCCCAAAGACATCCTTTGAATCCTTCTCCTCCGGCCTAAACACTGCGAGACCCCGATCTTAGCCACAGCGGGCTTCGGACCTGTGCTCCTGGCAGAGAACGACCGCAAAGGATCCCCCGGAGTAAAGCCCGCAGAGAATCCCACAGAGCTCAGCCGAAAAATTTTTCTGCAGGGACTTCTGATGTTCAAAAAGGTTGTGCTTGGGGATGACCACTAGCTCTCTCTTTATGTCGCATCGTCCGGTGCTTCTTGGACACGGATCGGCGTCCACATTGGGGGACTGCAGTCTCCATTGTATATCAATTATATCTATTGATGCAGCGAAGCTGGCCTCTTTATAGGTAACTCAGCGTTTACATGGGGTGTGCAGCTTGTTGGCATGCTCACAAGGGTTGTGAGCTCACGTCTGCTGAGCTTGGCATGGTGTATGGCACAGGGGGCTGGGCGTTCAAAGTAGCGTGGTTGCGTGTTACTAACGTCGATATATCTGCCGGACATGCTATCAGACAAAACGCAGCCTAGGTCCTAGGTTTGAAGCTGGGCACGTGTGCGAGTGCTAGGGTTCAGTACTGATGGCATGGAGGAGAAAGTATATAGACATCCCTTGCAGAGTACCCTAGAGCACTTGTTGAGAATCGCGCAAAGGACCCTTGCAGTGGTGCCCATTCCCAAAGAATTTCGCCGAGTATCACTGGAGTCAGAGTCCTGCCTGGAGCGCCCCACCCCCTGACAATCCTGCAGAAGCCCAGCCCCCTCATGGTGCCATGAAGTTGGAACGTAGAAGGCCTACTTCCCAATCGCACGCACAGAAGCCTCTCGAAAACAACAGTTAGAACCAAGAAAAGACTTGAGAACTTCACGTTCCAAGCTGCATTGTTCCAACTTTGCTCGCTTACGAACTTTAGCAGCTTCTAGAAACATTCTTCGCAGACGATGTGCGAGAGCCATGTCTTGCGGTTGTGCACTGTGGACATGACAAAGGGAACCACGGCACAATTTTTACGGAACCCCACAACGCGAATTGTCAGTCCTGCATGCAAACTGGCGCCGCCCCCCAAACAAACAACTTCAGGAAAAACCTCAAGAGCATCCCTGAACGACACCGCGAGCCGAACCGGGAGCAGCCAGTCCCCGGAATGTTGAATTGCTTTTGGATTCCTTCCCGCCGCGGAGTTCTGACGGGTTCCGGTTTTCCATTTTCACGTATCGGAAGGTCCGAAGGTTTATCAGACACGAGTTCAGGGATAGGGCGTCCAATTGTGTTTCGCAGAGCAGCCGAGACTGCGGTACGCATGCGCCAGAGCATCCCCGGAGCCCCTTAGCTTGGAACCCACGGAACACGCCGAAACACCCTCCCGAACAACCGCGGACGCCCCCTGGAAAAGACCTTCCGGGGATCTTCCGGAACCTTCCGGACTCCCCGAACACCGCGACACTTCCCCGGAACACCCGCCGGAACACCCCATCAGAACCATCAGGGAACCCTGGAGGACCCGGAACAATCCCGGAACAACATCACTGGAACCTTGCATTTGTTTTGGATTGCACCGTGGAATTTTGACAGGTTTCTCAGCTTTCCATTTTCAGGGATGGAGCGTTCAAGGATTGGCCGGCGTCCTTCTGTGTTGTGGGATTCGTTTCGGCATTGCGCCCTGGAGTCTTGACCGGGTTTAGCGCACTTTGAAACTTTCAAGGATGGAAAGCTCCACCGGGGGCTCAAGTTCAAGGATTGGATCTGCCGAACCCCGCGAGTTGCAGTTTTCCCCTCAGCTGCCGTGCGAAAACCCAAATCGAGGCGACCAGTCCAGGAGAGTGCGGCTAGCGGCTAGAGCCAAAGTCGAAGTTCCCCCTTAGCTAAGTTCTAGGGCTTGGCTGGCGCATGGCCAAGGCTAGTGGCCCCCTTACCTGGCCGCTCTGAAAGGCAGCCTACCTACACGGGGGGCGTTCAGCGCGAAACGTCCCCCAAGCACATCCCAACTTTCTGGCATTCAATGTAAAGGCCCCCACACCCGCCTTCCGAGGGAGGTGCCCGGTTGCCCGGTTTGTGGATGCGACATAGGCGCGGTTTCCCGAGTGCTGTTACACGCGTGGACCCACCTTTTCTTTGCATTCTTACTGCTCGTTCTGTGACGTTTGCTTCGATACCTCGCTTTCTGCGTTGACGCTACTACTTTGTCGCAGTGCAGAACCGGAGTGCGCACCGCGAGGAGTTCTGCAGAGAATCCCGCACTTCGTCATTTAATTTCGTCCCCCCAGAGAATCCCGCAGCGAGAAGAGCCCTGGAAAGCGCTGCATCCGTGTGCGGAACCCCGGAGAATTCCGCCCGAGAATCTCGAGAGAGTGCCAACCTCCACAGACTGTCCCTGCACCGGTAGTTTCATGGTTTTAGGGTGGGGATGCGGTCGGTATTCCTGTTCCGTAAGGATGGTTGGTGCTCTTGCTAGGCCTTTTCTTTTGGACTAAGCACTCTGACCCGGACCAACGCGCGCTGCACCGCTCTGCTGTGCACGTGCCTCTTCGCCGTGTGTGATATGTGGTTTTAGGGTGGGGATGCGGTCGAAAATTATACTGTGTTCTTTGAGCTTCTTGCTATGCCATGTAATGAGGAATGCACATGATTTACTCTAGGTTTTTGAGCCTTTTGTTTTTGTGGTCTTGTGCTGCTTCTTTTCATGTTCACGGTTTTGGTGCCTTCCGCTTTCGTTCTTGTGTGTGCTTGACTCTCTGTTGGCTTTGCTTTTCTGATTCGTTTGGCAGTCTACGTTGTGCTTTCTGTTGCTTGTTTGGCTTTGCCACGTCACTCCAACCCTGCCGCTATATCAAAGCCAGGCCAAAGCCAAGCTATGCATTTAGTGGCTGCGCGCGTTGGCCTCCGCCCAAAACCAACAGCCCCGGCTAAGCCAAGCCGTCTAAACCATGCTTTTAAGCATTTCCCCTTTTGCTTCACAAGCAAACCTTGATAGAATGAAATACTGGGCAAAGTGAAAGATCGGATTCTTGTCGTTAAAGCCGCCACCTCCCCATCCAACGTGCAGTACAAACTCTTAAACGATGTCCTTGTCGTTTTTTCAGCGGCTGCTTCATGGGGCATGTACTGTAGCTCTTGAGACTAGGGCGTGGCAGGGTTTAGTCCTTATTGTCAAGCAGGGCAGGACTCGGATTAAAGCCGCCATGCATGCACGCTTCGTACTGAGTGTTTTCTATCACATTTTTTCCGCATGCTCTATCGTACAAGTGTGAGTATAGCACCTGGCAATGAACAGGAGAATCCCCCAAGCAACTCCGCCGTGGATCCGGTGCAGGCCCTCGCCGACGGCCTCCAGGGCCACTCGGCGCTGGAGGTGCTGTGGCTAAACCAGAACCGCATCGGCGACGCAGGTTTGCAGGCCTTGGGTTGGGGGAGCCCATGCGCGATGCTTTCTGCGGGGCAAGTGCAGCAGTCTGATCGCCTGGGTTTGTGCAGCATCAGATGAGACCGCCTCCGAACTTGGGGAAGTGAGAGAATTCTGAAAGGGGCGCTGGGAGCTGGAAGCCGGGAGTTAGAAGCCCTCCCCCAAAGCCCTAAAAATGAGTTTGAGCCGAGTTAGAAGCTCAAACCCGTTATTCGTCTGGAGTAGGCCCTGTAGGCCAGATTCAAAGCGGCTGAAGGGGTTGTTAGTGTGAGTATAGCGCCTGGCAATGAACAGGAGAATCCCCCAAGCAACTCCGCCGTGGATCCGGTGCAGGCCCTCGCCGACGGCCTCCAGGGCCACTCGGCGCTGGAGGTGCTGTGGCTAAACCAGAACCGCATCGGCGACGCAGGTTTGCAGGCCTTGGGTTGGGGGAGCCCATGCGCGATGCTTTCTGCGGGGCAAGTGCAGCAGTCTGATCGCCTGGGTTTGTGCAGCATCAGATGAGACCGCCTCCGAACTTGGGGAAGTGAGAGAATTCTGAAAGGGGCGCTGGGAGCTGGAAGCCGGGAGTTAGAAGCCCTCCCCCAAAGCCCTAAAAATGAGTTTGAGCCGAGTTAGAAGCTCAAACCCGTTATTCGTCTGGAGTAGGCCCTGTAGGCCAGATTCAAAGCGGCTGAAGGGGTTGTTCGGAAGCGAAACTGCAAGGGCAAGTCGTCAAGAGGATTGTAGTTGCCCTCAAGCGTCAGGCACTCCCAAACCGGAAAGACATTAAGCCAACGATATCCGGTGGCGGATCCCGCACTTCACAAGGCATCGTGAAAACACAACACTTCCGGCATGTGCGTGTCTCTTGCGCAAGTGGCAACACTGCAGCATGAGCACTTGGGACTCCTGAGCTTTCTCTCTCGGCTCACTCTTCGTGCGGGTGCGGCTGCGCAGGCCTTGGCGGGCGCCCTCCGCAGCCACGGCCGCCTCCGGGACCTCAGCCTGAGCGACAACAGCTTCGGTGACGAGGGCGCCGAGGCCCGCGAGCTTGCCCTGACTGGGCCTGCTCGTCTGCAGACGTTTGTGGAGCAGCATCCTTCAGCTTCTGCATGTGGCACTCAAAAAGGCCTCTCAACTCTTAAAAAGTGGGTGCAGGCGCTGGGTGCCGCCCTCGGCTCCTGCCTGCTCCTGCAGGAGGGTGTCTGGCAAAAGGTGAGTGCGACGGATTTGCCTGGTTTGCCCAGCTTCGAGGGGTGCAAGCGTGGGGATAGCTGCCAAGAGAGAAGTGCCGCCGCCCCTCAAAACCGGAAGCTTGCTACCACAGAACAGCCTGTGAGGAGCTGAGGATTGCCGCGAACTCCATCGGCGACCTTGGGGCCAAGGCTCGCGGGGGACTTGTCAGGCGATGTGGGGCGGAGGGTGTAGGAATTTGGGGAGTGAGAGTCAGGGCTCGGACTCAGGCCTACGCGTACTTGCTTACGCTTCGTACGCGCTGTGGCCAACCCCGACTTGCTTTATGGCATCCCGTCGAACTGCCTTCTCCAGAATTTATGCTCCAGGGCCCCCAGAATTTTCAAGCTGATGGACATGGCAAACTCCTCGAAGCCTCTAAGCCTTAAGCCCCAAAATCAATCAACGTCCTGAACCCCAAACATCCCTACAATCTGCAGACAGGTTTTCAGGGGTCAACTTGTGATTCGATTTTTGTCGTGTCGCCGGTTGGATTTTTTCGGACCATTTCGGCTTTTGCTCGGGCAGCGCTCTCCCCCGTCTGCCCCACGTACTCACAGAATAGCAAGAGCCAAGTCAGACGGTGACCCCCTCCCCCCCCCCCCCCCCCTTATCCCACCCCCCCTTACCGGATGTCGGCTTGCCGCTCCAGGCTAGCAAGGTCCCGGGACTGGTTGATACAGACCTGTGGTTCGGGCCACGGCCCCACAAACCGCCAGTTTAGGCTTCAAACGTGAACGGTCGTAAATGTTTTCACTTTCGGCCACCCAGCAACTGCGTCGCTTTCCGGCTCGGACAACCTTGGAATCCTTCTCCTTTGGCCCACACTTCGGGACCTCGATCTTAGCTACAACATCTTCGGCTTCGGACCTGTGCTCCTGGCAGAGGACGACCCAGAGGATCCCGCAGAGTCCCCCCCCAAAATGCCGGAGCCGAACCGAGAGCAGCCTGCCGCTGGAACTGTGGGATTCGCTTTTGATTTCCGCCATGGAGTTCTGACAGGTTCCGACTTTCCATTTTCGCGGATCAGAAGCTCCATCAGACACGAGTTCAGGGATTTGGCGTCGGTTGTGTTTCTGTTTCTGGACACAGAACAGCCGAGACCACCGAACACGCGCCAGAGCACTTCGGACCTCTTTAGTTTAGAACTCCTTCGGCGACCTTGGGGTCAAGGCTCAAGGGGCTCCTCAAAGAGATGCGGGCGGGAGGGTTCAGGAATTTGGGGTGTCCTCAGGTCAGAGAGAGGACAGAGGATTCAAGAGGCCGCTTGCTTACTGCTTCGCGCGTGCCGTTTGACAGAGTAATACTGGAAACAGTCATCGCAGCCCCCAAGAGGCCGCGTAGCCGCGTACTTACGCCAGGCAACGCAACGCCAAGCCAAACGACCCAACCACCCATGGGCCTATCAGAGAACTCCATCGCTACTGGTGAACTTGCTTCATGGCATGCCGTGGAACCCGGCCTTCTCCAGAACTTATGCTCCAGGCCCCTCCTCTAAGCCTCTAAGCCCCAAAAATCAATCAACATCCTCAGCGCCAAACACCCTAGAAGCTGCAGACAAGTTCATGGGGTCAACTTGTGATTCGGTTCTGGTCGAGTCGCGGGTTGAATTTTCGGACCATTTAGGCTTTTGCTCGGGTGGCGCCCCCCCCCCCCTCTCCCCCAGGTGTGGATCTGGTCTGATGCGGGTCCGTCATGCACGCTCGCTTCGTACATACTGTAGCGTGCGCTCTTCTATCACATTTTTTCGCATGTTCTATCGTGAAATTGAAGTACAACTCCTAGTACTGAACAGAGAATCCCCCTAAACAACTCCGCAGCGGATCTGGTCCAGGCCCTCGCCGACGGCCTCCGCGGCCACTCGGCACTGGAGGTTCTGTGGCTCTTCCGGAACCGCATCGGCGATGCAGGTTTGCAGGCCCTGGGTTGGGTTGGGGGAGCCCATGCACGATGCTCTCCCGACATCGGTGTACATGTCTGTCGAATTGTGTTGATTCTGTGACTTTAACGCTGTGGGACAAGCCTCGGCCGGGGCCTGCCAGGTGGGGAAAGTGAAGGGGAACATGCTTTTTCTCTTGTTTCACCGAGGCAAGAGATGAGCGACAGAGTAACCGCGGAGTGGGGGAGAACCAAACCGTGGAGAGAAGGGGCAGATGGGGTATGGGGGTTAGCTGAAGATCAGACGGTACAGTGGGCGAGGCAGTACGAGGCGGATGGGTGGTCAAGGCGGAAGACAAGGACGTTGGAAACCTACACGCTTGGGGGGGGGGAAGTAGGGTAGAGCAGGCAAGAGAGGAGGGGTGGGCGGGGGCAAATTCCCCCCCGGGTCTACCTTCTTCTCGCGGGTCTGTGGGCCCCTTCTTGGGATCGGAGCAGACGCCCCTTCCTGGCCTGCAGGCCACCCAGGTCTTGGCTTGCGCAAGGCTTTACCACACACATTGCAGTGGGGCGAGGGCTTGATCCTGGGATTTTAGGGTTTCAGGTTTTTGGGTCACAGGGTCTTGGGTTTAGGGTTTTAGGGTTTAGAGTTTCCGTTTCCGGGTTTAGGGTTAACGGTTAGGGGGGGAAACCATGGAGGGGTACCTTGGGGTGGGAGGGCCAAGAACGCGCAGCCGCACAACCATATGCAGCTTGCACACATGGGACTTCATGATTGCTTGAATCGATCTCTATCCATGTCTATTCTTATGTATATCCTTAGCCTTCTCTCCTGGCTCGCTCTTGTGCGGGCGCGGCTGCGCAGGCCTTGGCGGGTGCGCTCTGCAGCCACGGCCGCCTCCGGGACCTCAACCTCGCCCGCAACCGCTTCGGTGACGAGGGCGCCGAGGCCCTCAAGCCCTGCCCTGCATCTTGTCCCTAGCTTCTTGTGGCATCTCGTGAAAGCGGGCATGTGCAGGCGCTGGGGGCCGCCCTCTGCTCCTGGCCGCTCCTGCAGGACCCAAGAAGCTTGTAAAGGTGCGCGCAAACAAATGGGCAGGAAATAGCAGGCAGAGAGAAGCGCCATACCCCAAAACTCGAAGCTTTCTCCTGAGGAGCTGAACCTCGACGGGAACTCCATCGGCGACCTTGGGGCCAAGGCTGGGGGGGAAGACGCCTCCGGAGATGCGGGCGGGAGGAAATTAGAATTTGGGAAGTCAGGTAAGGGCTCGGACACAAGTACGCAAGTTTCTGTTCTTCTTTCGATTGCTGCTGTTACTGCTGCAACCTTCAGCTTAATTTGGAGACCAAGTCTTAATTCAGCCCAAGACGCCTACCTCCCAAACCCGAAGCCGCAAACCCTGAGCCCCGAAGCCCAAAGCCAGACCCAGGCCTTGGCTCCGGCTCTGCGGCAACTCACCGGGCTCCGGGTGCTGACTCTTCATTTCAACGAGCTGGGAGCCGCTGGGAAGGAGGCCGCAGACTCTGCCCGTACGGGTAGCGTACGACAGAGTAGGGGGGGGTTTATAGGGCTTCAAAGTACAGGGTTAAAAGGTTTTGAGGGGGGCTCAGAGGGTTTGCAGGGCTTTAGGGGTGTAGTGTTTTTTTTAGGCTCATCGGGTTAAAGGGTATAGCACGGTGGTTTTTCGGGGGCTGGGAAGGAGGCAGGACAGACAAGAACCAACCTAGGTCCAAGGGGTTGGGGCACAAACAGCCCAGGGATTCGGGTTTATGGCGTCGAATGGTTGAGCCCAAAAAATATGGGGGTTTCCGAAAGTAGGGGTACCTTATTGGGGTCCTTATTATCAGGGATCCTTACTGTTTGGGGGTCTATATGAGGGGTCCCTCATCTCCCAAGCCCAAGCCTTGAGAGCCCTCCAAGGCAGCAGCAAACCCTGCGAGGTCCAACTTAGGGTTTAGGGTTTAGGGTTGTCCAACGCCAGCAGTTGAATGAGATGGCTCCATTCAAGCAGTCCGCCGGAAGCGTTGCGTTTCCTGAAAGCAATAGGCAGAAACCATACCTATGCCACAAACAAATTGACTTTTACAGATTTCCACCTCGATTGGTTTTGCACTGTCTTGTTGTGGTTCTTTGTTGCGCTGCATGTTGTTCTTGCCTGAGCAATTCATTCAGTGCAGCAGAAGCAAGGAACAGCTAGCACATCAAGGGCAAAGCATGGCAAAGCTACTACAGGTGACGGAATAATTATGCGCTAGTTTTAGCTCGTCGTCCCTGCACGTGCAAAACATGAAGTATTTCCAATGCCCATTCTAAGCAACCGGGCCCCTTGTATCCCCCTAAGCCCGACACCCTAAGCTTTAAGCTCTGAACTCTGAACCGTAAACCCTGCCCTAATTTTTGAATGGGCCCCCGTAGATGGCACCTTCTTCCACGGGTGTCTTTGCCGCAGGCCGTCACCACCGCGTGCCAGCACCTCCCGGCACTCGACCTGCAACTCTAGCCGCCCTGCAGCAAACGGAAGGCGCCCCCTAAACCTAAGCCAGGCAGGGCCTTGGGGGGACATTTTCGGATTTTCATTTTTTTTTGTGGGGTTTTTGGATTGTTTTGGAAGGGAGTGTGCAAAATTTGGAAGGGAGTGTGCACAAGGGTCAACACCTGGGAAGGTTTCCTGGGAATTTCGCACTTTGAGAGGTGTTGTGGGCGCTTTGAGAGGTGTTTTGGGGCCTGCGGGGCAAGGAGCCGGTTTTAGGGGTTTGAAGGTTTTGATTTTGAGGGTTTTGAGGGCTTCGCGGGTGAGGGTTTTAGAGCTTCGTGGTTTGGGGCTTCGGCGGTTGAGGGTTGCAGGGTTCAAGGTTTAGGGGGTTGTTTGCTCGTGATTTTCGGCCATTAATTGGAGTCTTATCCGATTCGGACCCTAATTTCCGGCGACTTCTGCGATTTTACGGGTCTTCTGAAGGCAGGGCCGTGTCTTCCGTGGAAGTTTACTCTTCTCGACACTACGTGGCCTCTTTCTGCTTGGGGTGTCGCTGCAGCAGAAGCAAGCTCGGCGTGCGAGCTGTGTCGCGAGAAGCCGAGGTTTCACTTGCGGCGCGCGCGCATCCAGGCCGTTCGCATGTGGATCCGGGATTGTGCAGAAAGCCTTGGTATCTAAAATTTGAGGTGCTTTGACACGGGCTTTCAAGGTGCAACCATCGTTGAGTCCAGGCCTCCAGTTTCCAGGTAGGGCTCTCTGTAGCTTCCCCCGCCCACAACGGCTGCGGGAGCCCTCCCGAAGTTCCAGGCCCCAAGCCGCGCCCCAAGTCCAAGAAACCCTTCGGTTGGTGTTGTATGAGGCTTTGTGGAGTGTGCTGCTGGGGGGCCTGCCTTGCGGTGCGGCTAGCACTATAGCCGCAGAGTCGCGGTTGCTTTCGTCTACTCCAGCAACAGCACGAACCATCTGCGAGAACGCCGCTGCTGCACTCTAATAGAGTCGGCTTTAGTGCAAGTGCACTATACTAGAGTATGCTGTAGTACTTTGCAGGCAGTATAGGACACTGTCATATGCCATAGTACTGATGATGCTGTGTTGAGAAGCTTGCCCCTTTCTGTGTATGACTGAGACAGGGCACGCTTTGGAATGGTACTAGAGTATGATATTAACATACTAGGGTTCTGAGTTTTATCGTTTCCGCCGAGCCCCTCAAGCCCCAGCAAGAATCGGGCAGAGTGCTGGCATCATCGCAGGTGGCTTGCTGGGTGAGCCAGAACAACCGCCGTAGCTGCGCAGCACATATGCTCCGAATGCGCGGTACTTGGGCCGCTGCGACTAAAAGGTTGCAGATCGGCTCGCTAAATGAAAGTTGTCCTAGCACCTAGGAGGCGCGGTCCGCTGGCGAGTTGCCTTTTTCTGGAGCTAGCTCCGCCTACAGCATCTAACACTATATCGCAGCTGTTCAACGCCTAGCTCAGATGTCCTTGCGTAGCCTTAGTCTTTCGCAAGCCTGAGAAAACGAGGCACTCCCAGGGTTCGTGCTTGCAGCCACTCGTTCATGCGCAAAAATGTGCTGCTCCGGCCAGGGATTCGGAAAGCAGGTCCAGGTTTCCTTCGTTTGCGGCTCAAACGCACACCCTCTAACCGTCCCTATGCAGCTTTGCAGTCGTCCCGCTTTTGAGTTTGTGATGTGTTTGCGGCTCAGAGGCCTTAAGAATCCCCACATACAGCCCTCGAGTCACGAAGCACTTTGAAGAGTCGAGGGTGGCTTCTTTACCACAGGAGAGCAGCGGGCCCACATCGTCTCCGGGGGAGAACCCCTTCGAAGACCTGCGGGCCGGGGTTCTGCAATTGTCAGTACAGCGGAGCGCCTCGCCTCCTTGGCCTGCCAGTCGGAGTCTGGATCCATGTACCTCCGTGACTACCGACTCCTCTTGCCTTCCCGTACCTGCACTGGCGTGCACAAAAAATTCCCGGCGTCACCTCCCCTTCGACGGCGGAGTCGCTCTCCCGTCTCGGGCCGCGGCTAGCTTTGAACAGCCGGCCACTATCGCCACGAGGTCGGAAAGATGCCCCCCTTCCCCCAGGCAGCAGCCGCCTCGGAAGTCCAGTGCCAGTAGGTCTCTTGGCCAGTGGGCTCCAAGACTTCGTGGGCGAAACCCCAAACCCTAAACCCCCCTGAACCCTCAACCCTCAACCCTAAATAGCACCTTGCGGGATCCTTGCGGGCAAAGGCCAGGAGGAGGTCCTGACACGGGCCGGCAAAGCGCAAAGCAGGAGGGGGGCATCGGAGCCCTGGCCCCCCGAGGCGCATCCCAGCGGGCGGCGTCCATGGCCCGGCTCTGGAACACGTCCGCTTGAACCTCTTCAGAATCCCTCATCATATAGTGCCCAAGTGCATCATCCATCCGGCTGGTGATGCATCACCGTGGCCAAGCTTCAAATTTGGCCGTCTGAATTCACAGGCGCCCACCTTGTGATTCGCTGCCACACCTGCCTTTCGGGAATGAGTGTTGTTGAGCTACTGCTTGCTACCATGCCCTGTGGCACTGTGCGACAGGTAGATCCTCTCGGAGCCACTTTCCGTTTCTTCTCTGAACTTGCTTATTTAAACATGCTTGTCTAAGTGCTGGTTGCTGTCACAAATGTTGCTGCAGTTGAAAATCTGCAAGCTCGGGCCATGTTGAGGAAGCCAAGACGCAGTGACCCTAAAGCCTTCACCATGAACTGTGACGTGGGTTTTTGTTGGGATCAAGCACTCGAGCTCCCAAGCGTTTCGGTGAAGGTACGAGCCCATACTGCCATAGTGACAGCAGCCGTAGCGCAGTAGGCCAGATTATATCCACAGTATATCTCTAGTATGCGAGAGCATTGCTAGTAGTGTAGTAGAAGTGTAGAAGAACCATGGTATACTCTAATATAAGAAGCACGGTAGAGTAGAAGAAAAAGCGTGTCGAGGAAGTAGAAGAGTTGGGAGCGACGGAAACCGCCAAACAGCGAGAGCTTCTGTGCTGTTTGGCAAACGCCTTCGATGGAGCATCGCTCGGATCCGCCCCTGGGCCCAGAGGCCTTGGCCCTGGCTGCTATTTGGGGTTTAGGGTTTGGGGTTTAGGGTTGAGGGTTTCAGTAGGGTTTAGGGTTTAGGGTTTAGGGTTTAGGGGTTAGGGTTTAGGGTTTAGGGTTTAGGGTTGGGTGATGTGGGTTACCGCTTGCAGGGTTTAGGATTGAGGGCATCCGAACACAATTTCGCAGGTTGCGAGGTGCTATTCAAGTTGCATACTGCACTATATGGTCCGAAAGATGATCGGCCTTCCTTGTGTCAGCCTTGTTAGTACGAAAAGATGCTTCAGGTTGCCGCTGTAGAGGTAGATTCAACGAGTTCTTCCTAACTCTACCAGGCTTCACGGCTCGTACATACTGGTACCATGAAGCCGAATGGCAGCAGCCAGTATTTAGAAAGCATACTTGCAGTTTTGATCGCTTAGCATTTGCGGCTGCCCTTTCGCGGCGCAACTCGGTATTCACCGACATGAAGTGTATAATATACAGCATATAGTATACAATATTTCGTATACATTACTAGACAGTATCTAGTATACAGTAGACATATGTGTATATACTAGTACTATATAGTGTCTATCTACATGCCATATGGTAATCGACGTAGTCTTGAGCATGCTATGTCCTCGAGTATAGCCTATACTACACAATGTATATGAGTTTTGAGGTTCAAGAGCTTGAGCCCTGTATGCCCAATATGACGCCGCATAATTAAAGCCGTATCAAGAGCCTTGGGACAATAGTCCCAAACAGCACATACAACCAGGTGGTAGACACATGTATCTAGTGTATCGTGAAGTTTGCTACAGAGTAACTCAATCCTTAAACCCTAAAATTCAAACCCCAAACCAAAAACGAAGGATGCTAAACCCTAAACCCTACACCCCAAAACCCTAAACCCTAAAACCCCAAAACCCAAAACCCCAAAACCCTACACCTTAAATCCCCCAGAAAGCCCCAACAACCCCAAGTCGAAGGTCGGCTCCAGTCCTTTCGACGACCTGCGCGAGGCGGCGCTGGAGCTCCGGGATGCTCTCAGCGTGTCTCGGCAGCCTCGGAGTCGAAGCTCTCCCAGTGTGAAGGAAAGTGTGTGTTTGGGTTTAGGGTTTAGGGTTTAGGGTTTTGGAGTATCGTATGTGTAGTACACAGTCGTATAAGTAGAAGACAGTACAGTACCTTGCAGTACAGTGCAGTGCAGTACGGTACAGTACAGCACACTATAGTGGATGATATGACAGTACAGCCTCGTGATATTCATTTGTAAATACATGTAAAGTTATGCACAGGGCCCAGCCTTTGCTATTGGCTTGGCCCGGCCTCATTTTCTCTCACAGCCTCGAGCTTAGGCTTTTCTTATTGCTTTCCTGTTGCGCCACGATGTTGCGTAGCGCGTGGCCTAAACCCTTTGCCTGGAAAGGAGCAGCCGGATCTGCGCCGCCAGGCGGATTCGGCTCACGTACTGCATGTTCTTCTTGTCGCATTCGTTTGGATGTGTCATGACCCAACGGTGCTCTGCTGGAAAAATGTACGTGTGTGTACTAGAGGATTTCCTATCGTAGTTTGGTTTTTCAAATGTGTGTGTACATACACATAGACGGCTACATAGCGCGAAGGCCTCGATTGATCTGGTAGGGCTCCGTGCTGTTCACTTGCTCAGAACATCGGTTCTCTCTGAACCCATTCCGCCCCAATATCATCTTAGGGACTGTTGGATTTAGGGTTCGGGACATGGGGTCACTGGGGTTTAGGGTCTTAGGCTTTTTCGTTAAGATGGTTTTGGGTTGCCCCCCACCCCCCCCCCTCCCCCCTCCCCCCCACCAGAAAACTCACCACAGCATGCTATGTTGTAGTATTCGCGCTCTCTCTCTCTCTTTCTCTCCCCCTCCCTCTCTCTATCCCTCCCTCTCTCTCTCTCTCTCTTTCTCTCTTTCTTTCTCTACCTTTTTGTGGGGCTTCCAAAGCGTCCTCGAGCGGTGATGCTGGAGCAGGCGCAGCAACTGCACACGACGGCGATTCAGGTCGGGAGCCCTACCACATCATGGTTTAGGGTTTAGGGTTTAGGGTTTAGGGTTTAGGGTTTAGGGTTGACTTTTTTTGGGAGTCTAGTGTCAGAAGTGGCTTGGGGAGCAGGTCCAGCAACTGCACACCACGGCGATTCAGGCCGGGACCCAAAAACCACACTCAGCCGGGATCAGAGTGTTTAGAGTCAGAGTTGTTTTTTTGTTGAGCCTTGGGGGGGTTTCAGAGGGTCGCCTTGACTTCCTTGAGATCGTAGCATGTTCAGCAGTCCTGTAGTTTTTTTTTAAAATGAGAGCCTCTGAGCCTCTGAGCCTCTGAGCCTCTGAGGTCCCGAGGCATGAGGATGTCTGAAAGAAGCTTAAGATGTTCCGGGCATCTTCATAGCAAGATGGTTGAGGGCCTGAGGAGCCACGGGCTAAGCTGGCTTGCCGGCGCTGGTTTCAATAGTGGGTTCCCGTGCGTGCTGGGCGCGCAAAGGCGTGAAAAGCGTAAATTTCGAAATCTCGTTTTGCCGTTTTACCGTCTGAGCTTCATGCATCCTCAGTTTTCGGCCGCGCGCGTCCTGCGTGAAAGCGTAAAGCCTTAAAAGTGTGAAAGCGTAAATTTCAGAATTTCGTTTTGCTGTTTTGCACTTTTCGTTGCGCGGGGTTGCAGCACTTGAGTCAGAGCTACTCATAAGCCTCGTAAGTTGGGACGTTCCCCTCTACACAAACAGTCCACAATACAAGGAGGGGGGGGGTACTATAAGTACTATAATCCCGATTCAGGACTGTTAGTAAAAGGGGGAACATCCCTAAACCCTAAACCCTAAACTCTAAACTCTTAGGCAACTCGTAAGCTAATAGCTCAAAGAAGAGTTCCTGGAGACTGGGCAGCCTGGACCATGGTTATCTACTATTTGCTTAAGAACCCTCCCGCCAAAAAAATAGAACATAAATATGTATACATATATATATATATTTATACATGTATATTATATTACATTGCTATTTCTATTGCTATTTCTATTTCTATTTACATTATATTTATATTTTTTTTATAGTTTATATGTTTTATATTTATACATATATATATATATATATATATTTTTTTTCATTTATATATTTATTTAGTTAGACAATGATCACTAGATTGACCTTATAAAGAAGACCATTCTATACCGTTGGGGGGGAGTTCTTAAGCAATTTGTTGCTTTTGCTTCTGTCCTGACCCTGAACGCTGAACCCTGAACCCTAAACCCTAAACTTTTAGTGATTTCGATGACATGGGCCCTCGACCCTAAACCCCTGGATCCAGTAGCAACCTCGCTCAGGGCGAGCCAGTTGCAATTCCTTTGGGCAATCGTTGGATCCCCAAGATTACATGGGTTCCCCTACTACCCCCCTCTATGCGGTTTAGGGTTTGCAGTTTAGGGTTTAAGGTTTAAGGTTTAGGGTTTAGGGTTTATAGGGTTTAGGGTTTAGATTACAGGGTGTATATAGGCGTATGGGGTTTATATGGAGTTTGTAATATATGCTTTATAGGGGTTTATAGGGGTTTATAGGCTTTGTAGGGTGTACTTCGCTTTTGCCCTTTTACCGAATGCGCTTCCTGCGTACAAGCATAAAAGCGTGAAAGCATGAGAGAGTAAAGTTCCAAACTTCGCTTCTGCCCTTTTGCCGTATGCGCTTCCTGCAGTCTCTGTGATCGGCCGCGCGCGTCCAGCGTAGAAGCGTAAAAGCGTAAAAGCGTAAATTTCGAAATTTCGTTTTCACAGTTTTACCGTTTGAGCTTCCTGCATCCTCACAGTTTTCGGCCGAGCGCGTCCAGCGTAAATTTCGAGATTTCGTTTTTCCCGTTTTACCGTGTGCGCCTCCTGCATCCTCAGATTCCGGCGGAACGCGTCCAGCGTAAAAATGTAAAAGCGTAAAAATCGGAATTTCGTTTTTGCCGTTTTGCGCTTTTCGTTGCGCGGGGGTGCCCGGAACCCCTTATCCCCTTGCAACAACAGCAAACCAGCACAGCGGGAGTGGAGCTCAAAAGCTTCAATGCAACAATAGGGGGGTTTCAATGTTCCCAGGGCCGGTTGCTGAGTTGCCGAGTCAGAGTTTTGTCCGGGATCGGCAGGCGCAAGCTTTAGGAGGCCGAACCTAAACCGAAGCCCTGAACCTGAGCTCAGGCACAGCGGGAACACTTCGAGAAGTTGTTGGAGGCCTCCGCTTCCCACTTTCTGTGCTGAGGGACTTTGCCGGTTTCTGGTTTTGAGCGTTCGAGTTGAAGGAGGATAGTCGTACAGATGGCTGCACGCATCGTAGCTGTGCCTGCTACCATGTCATCTAAAAAGCTCAGCTCAGTGTCGCACTGCGCTACTTCGTTGCTCGCCTGTTGCTCACGAGGGCTGCCTGGAACCAGTCAGCCTAGGCTTCTTCAGAAAGCCTGTTGCAAAACACCGTGCTGCATGTCAGCCGACAGGGACATACAGCGTATCTTGCAGCAGACTCCGCCGCACGCCAGGAACAGGAGGACTCACGCAAGAAAGCACTTCAGGCTCCAACGCGCCGCCGGTGTTCAGGGTTGCGGGTCGGCTGAGGGTTCAGGGAGACCATAAGCATGTATATTTTATATGTATGTGTTTATATATGTATGTACATATATATATAATAATAATAATAACAATAATAATAATAATAATAATAATAATAATAATAATAATAATAATATAAACTTCAGAGTGACACACAGAAGGATGAGGTTGCATTCGGCAATGAGGGACCCAGATGTATGCCACAGAGACGCTTCGCGAAAGTGCAGCTGCGCGTCAGGAACAACGAGACTACTATGAGTGCTTGCTGCAGGCCGTGCTTTTGCAGATCTATCATCTTGATAATCTGGCATCTGGTTTACACAGACTGGTTCCCTAACGGCTTGCGTACCTGCCCGGCTTGTGCAAAATGGCGAAGATCTGCAATCTGCAGTCCGTAAGGGTTGTAAACTTCGCTCGCTGGCAGCAGTTGCAGCGTGTGGTGCTGCATAGCTGCAGGCCAAGGATGATGCGCCCAAGCGAGCTACTCAGGCACAGAAGGGCCCCGTGCAGACTGTCGGCTTGGCGCATGTCGTCGTAGTTCGTGGTAGTTGCCGTCGCTGCAGTAGTAGCCACTACGACCTTTCTGCTAGGCTAAAGCTCTCAACTTAGCCCTGCTGTCGTGCCATGCCCAAGCAGAGGCCACTCTGAGTACATGCACAATGTCTTTGGCTACGTGCCAAGATTGTAGCACGGCATGAACTTTGGTGGTGACACCTTCAGCTGCAGGTTCAGATAACAAGCAGTTGAGCCGTAGCACCTTCGTCCTTAACCACGTCCTGAAGATTGTCGGTGCTGGTTAATCCCCCCAGACCTGATAAGCCCACACTTCTGAGCCCCACAGGGTGGGATGACAAACGTGCCCGACGAGGGCGTGCACGCCACAGGGCAAGCCGCAGCAGGCACAGATTGGCGCAATGCAAGCTTTGTTCCATGGCCGTGTGTTGGCTTTCGTCGCATCTGATGTGAGTGAAAGAACATGAAAGAACATGAAAGAACATGAAATGAACGTGCAAGAACATGAAAGAAGGTTGGCCCACAGGGTATGCTCGATCACCTGTTTCGGTACGGCAGCCGTTTCGCTTGGAAGCTGGGCAGTGCCACAGGCAGCGCAGAGCAAGAGGCGCTTGAGGAGCAGGGCATGGACCAGGCATGGCCAGTTTTTTGCAGACGAGCCCTTTAGGCTCTGATGTGAGTTGATGTGACCAGATCCTGGATTGCCTGTGCAGGTGGCTGCGGCAAAAACAGGCTTGGTCCGTGAGTGTTAAGACAGCTTGCAGCCTCTGCCACGAAAGAAGAGTGTGTTTGGTCCTGAGAACACACCGAAAGAAAGCACCACTCGCTCTGAAACTTTCCGCTCTCCAGGCGTCACGTGCCCTGGCGATGCCATGAAGCCATCTGCCAGCACGCCAGAGCAGGCCGATCATGTAAGACAACGTAGGCCACAGCTTCAACTTGCGTGGGTCGCACTGTCGTCCTCTCTGAGTTTTTTCGGGTTGTTGAACGCGGCATTTGGCCAGTTCATGAAAATTAAGAATAGTAGTTTAGGTTTGACTATTGACATTGATATTCAGACTCATTCTTATATTAATAATACCAGTGCTTGTAATACTGATTTAAAATCAAGGTCGGAAATGAACCAGCCAAGGTGTCTGAATAAGCCCTTCCAGGTGTCAAGTAAGTCCTGTGGTGATTCATGTCGGGTCGGAAATGAGTCCGTCCAGATGTCTGAATAAAACCCCCCGTACAGCCGTCAGGGTTTAGGTTTTCTAGTTGTGTTTTGTTGCTTTTTTGAGTTCAGGGATTTCGGGCTTTTAAGGTTCAGGGTTTTCAGGGTTTTAAGGTTGGGGGTTTCCGGTTTTTTTTAGGGTCAAGGGTGTTCAGGGTTTCGGGTTTTTAGGGTTTAGGGTTTTTTGGGTTTAGGGTTTTCAGGTGTTTCTTGTAGGGTCAAGGGCTTTCAGAGAGAGAGAGAGAGAGGGTTTTTGGGTCCAGGTTTTGATTACTGTTTAGGATTTTAGGGTCCAGGGCTTTAGGGTTTAGGTCCGGCGCGATATGAGGGCTTAGGGCTTTAATTCGGGTTTTTGTTCAGGGCCTCAGGGTTTGTAGGGTTTAGGGTTCGCCGGTTTATAAGGCTTAGGATTTTAGGGTCTAGGGGTTTTAGGGTTTAGGGGCCAGGCATTTTCGAGTTTAGAGCATTTGGGTCTAGGGCTTTCAGGGTTTAGGGCGTTTAGGGCTTTATGGATTTCTTTAGAGTTTGGGGCTTCAGGGGTTTTGCAGGTTCAGTTTTTAGGGCTCATTTTTTTTGGTCCAGGTTTTTTTTTTTTACACTTGTTGCGCGATAAACCAACTAAAAATGTTGTTCCCCGAAAAATTCCAGCAAGATAAGATAGATCCAATCCCTGGTTATGAGTCTTAAGGGTTCAGGGTTTGGGGTTTACGGTGATCTAACAGGAATTCAGGGTTCAATGCTTAGGTTATAGGACGTACATGTTCCATAGAATTTGGCTTGTGTGAGTGTCTATGGTCCTCCCCTACTACCCACGCGCGGCACTGGACTGTCCGAATTGCCGCGTCTTAGTTCCCGAATGTCTTTCACGCGTCATGCCAGAGCCAGGGTGCCCAGGGCGACCAGTGCAATCTTGTGTCGCGCCCAACTTACGCCCACTTCTACCCTAAAGCCCTAGGCCTCAGGCCCCATTCCCTAAACCCAAAACTCTGATGGCCCTGAGCCACACCATCGTGACCTTCACTTCTTCTGGTTTTTGCTTTTCTTTTTAGGGACATTGGTCTCTTCCCTGCCGATTCCATGCACGTAGCCTGAAACAAATCCCCCAGATTCGTGGCAGGTCGAGGTTGCCGACGAGTCGCCTGGAACCAAGGGATACATGGGGGAGGTGGGGGTTACGGTATGTCGGTATGTATGTATGTCTGTCTGTCTGTCTGTCTGTCTGTCTCTGTGTGTGTGTGTGTATGTGTGTATGTGTGCATGTGTGCATGTGTGCATGTGTGTACGTGTGTATGTGTGCATGTGTGCATGTGTGTATGTGTGTATGTGTTTATGTGCGGATGTGTCTCAATGTGTATGTGTGTATGTGTCTACGTGTGTATGTGTGTATGTGTGTATGTGTGTATGTGTGTATTTGTGTATGTGTGTATGTGTATGTGTCTACTTGTGTATGTGTGTATGTGTGTATGTGTGCAAATGTCTACGTGTGTATGTGTGTATGTGTGTATGTCTGTGTGCCCGTCTATCTGATATAAGTACATGCTTTGTCTCCGTGTTCGTATTTCATATACACAGCGCAGTGCACTTCGTACCCGTCTCAGACATCAGCCCAAGTCCGTGCCTTCATCCAATCATTCTGAGGCCGCCGTCAGCCAAGTACGCATCACTCGAGGACAGTAGAATCCTCAAACCCTCAAACCCTCAAGCCTAAAGCCTTAAAACCCTCAAATCCCTTACTACAACCCCGAAAGCCTCCCTCCAGGCCCTAAGCCCAAACGCGAAACCTTAAACCCTAAACCCCTAGACCCTAAACAGAGAGAAGCCTCCGGATGAGTGAGAGCACCCCTAAAAAAAGCCCGAAAGCTCCAAAGCAGCCCCTGAAATTTTAGAACCCCCCAATGCAAGCCCTACATAACCCGTATCAAAGCCGAACAACGCCAAAGGAAATTTTTGGCCCAGCTTCCTGGCCCAAAGCTGTGCTCAGCTTCGACGCTTTGAGAGGGCCCAGCTGCCTTCCCATGTCGCCGCGCCCTGAACCCCATAAAGCCTTACGCAGCCCCCCAAACCCTCTAAACCCTAAGCAGCTTGTCGATCTCCCGCCAGGATCCGACGGGTTTCGCCATCGACTGGCTGCGCCAACGTGCGCCGAACCGTGAGGGCCACGGCACTCTGTCCCTCCGCCGCCGGAATGATGCCCTGAAGCAGGAGCTCGCCTAGGTTCGGGAAGCTGTGTGAGGGAGTTGTTGTTGTCCTTGGTGCGGGAGTAGTTTGTGAGTTGTTGCTCTTTGCCGGTGCTTGCTGATGTTTCTAGGCAGCTTGCTCTAGAGAGAGAGGATCAGGCACCTCTTGCAGCTGGGGGCTCGGCGTCCCGACTGAAATCCCGGCTTCGAGACGTGAGGAAGGTACTTTTGAACTGACCCGGATCCAGATGCAATTTTCGTTTTTGTCCAACGCTACATGAGCTATCGCTGGGACTCAGGCAAACTGACACTTCAGAGAAACCAGCACGTCGAGCTTTGCCCGACCCCATTTCGCAGAAATTGACGTCCTGGAGCAGCACAGACTCCGCGTACATCCCGATCCGTTCACACCTCGATGTCCTGAAGACACCAGATTTCTGAACAAACGTGGTGGGGAAAACGAAAACCCAGCAAAGGTGCTTAGCTTTGCCGAAGTGGGCTGTGCATGGTAGACGGCGAGCCTGCCCCACAGGAGGTCTCCGAACTTGAGGGCATCCTGGCGGCGCACGCAGTGCAGGCCCGTGCTCACCCGGCATCTGCATGGGAGTTTCTTCCCTGACTGTTGATCTCTTGATCCAGAGATCGACCCCCGAAACGCAGACCACCTCGAAGACTGAAAAGCCCCTAAGCCCTGAACTTCCTGAAGTTCCTGAACTTCCTAAACTGCCTTGGCCCTCAACCCTAAACCTCCCTCAACCCTAAACCCCAGAACCCCTAAACTTCCTAAGCCCAAAAACCCTAAAGCTTCCTAAACCCTAAAAATGCTAGACTTCCTAAACTCCCGAAGCATCGCAGAGGCCACCTCGCCATCGCCGGGGCCTCTGTTGGGGGCTTTTGCCACATTTTTTGACATCGTTCGCGCCTGCCTCAAATGCTGGTAGTAGGGATCAGAGGTTGTAGGGTTTTATGGGGGTTTGCGGGGCTTCGGGGCGTTTAGGGGTTTATGGGTTTAGGGCTCATAGAGGTCTCCAGCTTTGGTAACCGAGGTATTTTGGGGGAACCCGTGTTTTTTTTTTGTTGTGGGTGCTTTTTCGTTACGGGGGGCGGCCCCGTAAGTGAGTAACTTCCCCCGCGCCCGCAGCACAAAAAAAAAACGCGCCCCCGCACCCGCAGCAAAAAAAAAAAACGCGCCCCCGGTACTTTGGGTTGATGTTGCCACCCCAGGACGAGCCTCGCTTCTCCAATCCCCGCAGATCTGTTAATGAACCCATTGACTACATTGATGGCTTGAGGACGGGAGCTTCTGGCTACCCGGCGCCCAGAGAGCCGGAACCTCAAGAAGGGTTGAGATGGTTTAGCCAGCTTGCTAGCCAGCTTGAAAAAAATTTAGGCAGAGTTGGGAAGATTGAGAACCATACAACTTTCACGGATATCGACGAAATTTGCGAAAGTGTTGCAAAGAGCTAGATCGCCTCCAGTCGCAAATTCGCGACTAGTTTTGGGTGCACGGGGTGAAGGGTGTGGACAACTTCTTGGCCAATCAAACCAACAGTTGCAAGAACAAATATGTCTAGGGAGGCTTTGGACCTTCTGGCAGAGCCCTCAGACGGCATGGTGATCTAAACCAGGCCCTCGAGATGGGACCCCTCCCGTTCCTGCAAAGGGGGTCTTGATGTTGAGCCTTTTGAATTGAATCTCGCTCCCATCCTAGATCCCTCCCGGACCCCCGAACTTCCTTCGTTCAAGTGAGGCCAGCACCAGCTGTGGCTGCGGGGGAGCCTCGGAGATGGAGATAGCACATAGCACGCTAAGCTCCGTTTTTTTTTGTTAAGGGCTCCCTTCTATGCAGCGCCCCGGTGTGTGAAAAGCGGTGCGCCCTCCCCGGTACCCCGAGCCTCTGGCAGCGATCTCCGCCGAAACTTGTCGCTCTCCTCTCCATGGGTTCGTGGCATCCGGATCCCCAGGGCCCTAACATTAAAACCAGCCCTGACTGTGAATATTCCCATTCTGGTCTATGATCGTGAATTATTTCAAATATTTTTTTAAGGGGGGGGGGGTGGAGGATCAAACTTAGGTACCAGCCAAATGATCTAAATGCAGGGCTTTGCAAGCCATCAAGCCCACCCAAAATTCAATTTTGGCTGACGGATGCCGGCTTTCGTCGAAATCTTCAGGACTTTTGCCTCTGAGAGTCCTTTCGACCATTCTATAGAGTCGTAGGCCACCTCAGATTTTTAGGAGCGGACAGAGGGTTGGGGGGTGGGGGGCCGGAGAGCGGGTCGGCGCCCGAGGCGGATGGCGGTGGCCTCAGCGATGGTGGCGCGGACGGGTCGGACGTCCAGGCGCATAGCAAAGATTGTCGGCACCCCCCCCCCCCCCCCCCCCCCCCATGAACAAAGTGGTGACATTTTCATCTGCGGGCTAACACGCAGTCGAGCCATAACACCTTTGTGCTGATCCAGTCCTGAAGATTGTCGGTGCTGGTTCATCCCTCTAAACCTTATAAACCCGATCCCCTGAGCCCTGCAGGGTGGGTTGACAGTGCCCATGTCGAGCCGTGCAGGTCACAGGGCAAGCCGCAGCAGGCCACATTGCCGGGCTGGCACGCTCGATTCCACGGGTGCGCGTTGGCTTCGGTTGGCTTCGGTTGGGTTCTGTGCTGTGATGTCAGTGCAGGAAAATGACAGAAACTTCGAATGGGGTCTACTCCAGCTTCTCACACCCGAACCGTTTGCGCTTGCAAGCTCCGCTCCCGCCAGAGGCAGCGCAGAGCAAGTGGCGCTTCAGGGCAGGCATGGACCAGGGCACAGCCCTCAGATAAGTGTGGCCGCGACACAATACAGGCTGGGGGTCCATGTGTTCCAAGCCAGCAGCTTGCAGCCCTCGCGACCAAGACACATGAATCGTTCCAGCGACACCGCTGAGAGAGACCCAACTCTCACTGCAATCTTCCGCTCTCCAGGCGTCGATGCACGAAGCCAGCCGGCATGCCGGAGCCAGGGCCGATCATGGCTTGTCATCACCCTGGTTTGCCTTCGAGGAGGCGTTAGCTGGTTGGGTTTTTTTAATGTTTTGGGATTCCTCAAGACAACGTAGCCCACACTTTCAATAAGCGTGGGTATGGGGGTTGTTGAGCTCGGCAAAGTCGGGCAGTGTGGAAGAACTCGGAAGTCTAAAGAAAGTCCATCAGCTACTCCTGTGCAACCTTCCAGATTGGCTGCCTGGCCATCCGGTTTTCCAGGTGTGTGTATCGTCCTATCATCCATGAGGGCAAAGAAAGTCTCTAAAGACCCTATAACTTTTCGGGAACGACGAAGCGCGCGTGCTCGGTCGCAGAAGCGGAAGCTGAAGAAGTGAAGGCCGGCGTGGTTTGGGGCCTCAGGTTCAGGGTTTAGGGTCTTACTTAGGGGGGGGGAGGAGGGGGGCATCCCCCGTTATACAGGACCTTTCAAGGAGCGCAAGTGAGCGTTTTCCGAGATCCCCTTAAGGTATACTCTAATTCATTTCAAGAGAGAAGCGGGTTGTTTGCCGCATGACCTCTGTACATCAGGCCTGGGCACCCAGAGTCACGGCCTGGTTTGGGGGTTTCGGTTTAGGTTTTAGGGATATATGGCTTTTACGCTTACCAATGTTCAGGCCCGAAGGCCGCCTGCCCGCACAATGCACTGTAGTCATGTGAGATCAATCTGCATCAAAGGCTCTGGTACTGCCACTCGCTGTGCCACGTAATGCCATATAGGATGACATTACATGAGGAAAAGTACAGATGCATGTGACGTATTCAGTAAATGAAAAAGCATGTTATGCATGTGACGAAAAAGCAGCACTCTACGCTACAGTGACCCCCTCGCTTGAACCCAAACCTTTTCCCGTTCGCGGAAGGCGACGAAACCATGCATTTTCTGCCCCGCACAGGCCCAGTACAGCCTGCTGAATACTGCCGGCCTGGTCGGCTTCTGCAGGTACGCAGACGTGCGTCTCCTGCGGCCCCAGTACTTGCAAGAGCTGCACGAGGCCGGAGCACGTGGCCCCTGCCTGCAGGAAGCGGAGCAGGAGTACACGAAGATGGGAAGGAAGCGCTCTACACGCATGAGGAGCTGCAGGAGAAGGTCTGCCTGGGTGGGAGCGTTTCAACGGGTCTTCGCACTGTCGCATGTGTGGGAAGCCCGTTGCATCCTGTATCCTGCTCGGCACCAGCTCCGGCCTCAGTCGTGCCCAATGTGCAAGTATCATCTTGGTTTCCTTGCGGAAGTTGTGTGTACGGTGTAGCAGGTGTAACGTAAAGCTTGGCTTGGAGCCTGCCTTGCATCTGACCTGCCAGGGCGTCGGAACCTGTCAAGCAGTCCACGGCGCGTTGCCGGTGCTGAGGCTGGGAGTCCGGTGGAAGCGCCGCGCGACTTCCGGGACGTCTTGCGGAGCTCGCCCCAAAGGAGTCGAAGATGGTCCACATCCGACTGGGAGGCGGCCAATTCAATGGTTTCTAGCAGCATGCTGCGCAAAACGCAGCCCTTCGCTATTACTGGCGCGTTGGCAGTTAGCGGCCCTGTTGAGCTCTTCATGGTACAGCTTTCGAGGTGAACTAGCTTCGGCAACCGTTCAATTTTGAGACTGCACGTACTTTCTGCAAGGATACATTGATTAAGGTGGGGCAGGGGGTGATGATGCGTCTGGCATATGTCCATTATGCCATTGATTCACTCTTTGCCAGTCCGCGGTCTTCATAGACTACAGCTCCCTCTACCATTCCAGCGGTTGCCCGACCAGGAACGTTTCAGCTTGGTAAGCTTAGGCCATGGCAGCCGGTAGCCCACCACCCTTGACCCGCAGCCTCACAGAAAACTTAAACGGTGGGCCAGGATGCGTCCTTCAAGAAAGCCATGGGCAATTGCATGTTTGTCTACTCGCACGCAGAAGCTTCACTTTGCGGATCGAGGGCCTCACCCGGGACTCCCACGACCCCCGACCGGCCCAGGGCCGAAGCTTTGCCATGAGAAGGTGTCCGTCTCTTCCCGTGCCCAGAACGCCGGGTGGACGTTCCTTAGCAGAGCTCCGTGACACAACGACGAGAAGGGAAATGCCCCCCCTGCGGCAAAGCCCCCCCCCTGCGCCCAGCTCCACAGCAACAGCGTGGAGTCCAGCGTCGCGGTCTGGTGCCCCGAGGCACAATGGTCCGCGCGAGGTCTGAGCCTTGCACAGCATCCCCATCCCCTTCCGGGAGGGGGCGGGGGCACCGCGCCGATGGCGCCCCAGGATTTCCGGTCCTTCGCGAGAAGGGCCACCTGCGCTTCACCCACCGCTCCGACCTTGACCCGGTTGCCATCTTCAAGCCAAGGTCCTTCCAAGACAAGGCGCGGAATTCACCAGCCTGTGCTCCCACTCCTCCCAGCCGACCAGTGAAGACCTTGGCCGCGCGTTGCCCCACTTCCCGAAGCTGGAGAGCTGGACATCAATCGCAGGCCGGCCAGGGAGTGCCATTGAGGCCCGGCGGCTGTTTGTGTGTTCTTGTTTTCAAGCTCCTTTCCCTCGTCTTTTCTTCCTAGGGCCTGGTGCGGGCGCTGCCGCCTGGGCTGCGAAGCTGGTGCTGGGCGATTGCCAACATCGGGACGGTAGGCGCAGGTCCGGCTTGCCAGACATAGACCACACCTGGAGTGTCCACTGTGGAGCTTACAGGGTCCCATGGGTAAGATGGGGATTAATCTTGGGACACATCTTTGGCTGCTGCGAGCTAGACTACTCCGCGCACTCAGGGTTTCATCATTTCGAGGTGAAATTAGTCATAGTCCGCCGTTCGGCAATGTTCCGGCATGGTTGTTTGCCACGAACAGAGCTCCGTCCTTTCAGGAGATCTGCAAAACTGATTGCCGCGTTTGCAGGTGTAACTTGTGAGGACTTGGGGGCTGCGCAAGATGCTCCCTCTTGCCCCCTCCCTTCTGCCTCCGCCAGAGCAAGGAAGCATCTCTTAAGTGGAAGGGACGCTGCTGACGTTGCCACTTCTTGTTGAACAGCCCCAAGTCTTGCGAAGTCTTGCACGTCCCCTGCTTGTTGCCGCTGAGCGTACGCAAGATTGCTCCCTCTTGCTCTCGCCATAAGGCATTCCATGGACCTGCTGCAGTATGATCTCCAAACCCCCAGATCTTTTCAAGTTGATGGGCCATATCCGACCCCTCTAGACTGACAAGCCTGCCGTCTCCATCCCCTCCAGGCCATCGCCGCGACCTCCAGACCACCCGCGCTGAGGTGCTCCTTCTCTACCTTCTCCCAGAACGGCATCGAACGCAGGCAGGTTTTGCAGCCTTGGGTTTAGGATACCGATGCTTTCCGCATGCTTTCAGCAGAGAGGTGCAAGTGCAGGTTGAACATGTCTGAACTTCAGCTCGGCTCATTCTGTGCCAAAAAATGGAGCCATGTCCAAACCCTGAAAGGCGTGCTGGAGTTGGAAGGAACCCTGCCATCATGAGTCTTTTCTATGTGATAGGAACTCTCTTGACAAGGAACCCCGTGAAGAGACCCACCAAAATGACCCTTGGGACCTTAATGACTTCTCGCAGGAGTTAGAAGCCCCCCTGCCCCGAAAACGACCAAAATGAGTTGGAGCTGAAACTGAACTCTCAAACCTGTTGTTCGTTGGAGGAATGGGCAGGTGCATATGGGTGAAGGGTGTTCGATACAGAGAGACTAACGTGCTTGTAAGCGAAATTGCAATGGTTACTGAAAAATCTTCCAAGCTCTTGAGATTGGGCGCATGCGTTGGCGCCGCCATGGGCTCCTTGCCGCTAAATCCTGAAGGAGGTTCTGGCAAAGGTGAAGTGCGACGGATTTGCCGAGCTTCGAGGGGGTGCAAAGCTTGGGCTAGCAACCGAGAGAATCGCCGCCGCCCCTCCAAACTGGAACTTGCAACCACAGAACGCCTGTGAGGAGCTTTGGACATTGGCTGGAACTCCATCGGCGACCTTGGGGCCAAGGCTCGCGGGGACTTGTCAGGAGATGTGGGCGGAGGGTGTGGACCCCGGCCTTCTCCAAGAATTTAAAATTCCCAGGGCCCCCAGAATTTTCAAGCTGATGGCCAATGGCAAAACCCTCGAGCCTCTAAGCCTCTAAGCCCCAAAAATCAATCAACATCCTGAACCCCAACATCCCTACAAGCTGCAGAAGGTTTTTTTTGGGCCAACTTGTGATTTCGATTTTGTCACGTCGCCGGTTGGATTTTCGGACTCGGCTTTTGCTCGGTCCATGGTGGCGTTCCCCCCGCCCCCCCGCCCCCCTCTCCCCCACGTACACACAGAATCAAGAGCCGAGTCAGACGTCCCACCCCCCCCCCCCCCCCCCCCCCCCCTTGTCTTATGGCTTGCCGTTCCAGGCTAGCAAGGTCTCGGGACTGGTTGATGCAGACCTGTGGCTCGGGACACGGCCCCACAGACCGCCAGTTTAGGCTTCAAACTTCAAACGTGAACGTGCTGCAAATCGGTGGCGATCCTGTCGTCAGTGTCTTCGTTTTCGGCCATCCCAGGAACTGCGTCGCTTTCCGGCCCAAAGACATCCTTTGAACCCTTCTCCTCCGGCCTAAACACTGCGAGACCCCGATCTTAGCCACAGCAGCTTCGGCTTCGGACCTGTGCTCCTGGCAGAGAACGACCGCAAAGGATCCCCCGGAGTGCTCACCCCCCAAAAGCCCGCAGAGAATCTCACAGAGCTCAGCCGAAGAATTTTTCAGCAGGGACTTCTGATATTCAAACAGGTTGTGCTTGGGGATGACTACTAGCGGCCTCTTTATGTCGCATCGCTCGGTGTTTTTTTGCATATCGATCGGTGTCCACGTTGAGGGACTGCAGTCTCCATTGTATATCAATTATATCTATTGACGCAGCGAAGCTGGCCTCTTTGTCGGCAACTCCGCGTTTACATGGGGTGTGTAGCTGGTTGGCATGCTCGCAAGGGTTGTGAGCTCACGTCTGCTGAGCTTGGCATAGCATATGGCTCAGGGGGCTGGGCGTTCAAGGTAGCGTGGCTGCGTGTTACAAACGTCGATATATCTGACATGCTATCAGATAAAAACGCAGCCTTGGTTTGAAGTTGGGCACGTGTGCGAGTGCTAGGGTTCAGTACTGATGGCATGGAGGAGAAAGTAGATAGACATCCCTTGCAGAGTACCCTAGAGCACCCCCTGAAAATCCCGCAGAGGACCCTTGTAGTGCCCATTCCCAAAGAATTTCGCCGAGTATCACTGGAGTCGTGAGAATCCTGCCTGGAGCGCCCCGCCCCCTGACAATCCTGCAGAAGCCCAGCCCCCTCATGGTGCCATGAAGTTGGAACGTAGAAGGCCTACTTCCCAATCGCATGCACAGAAGCCTCTCGAAAACAACAGTTAGAACCAAGAAAAGACCTGAGGACTTCACGTTCCAAGTTGCATTGTTCCAACTTTGCTCGCTTCCGAACGTTAGCAGCTTCTAGAAACATTCTTCGCCCTTCGCAGACGACGTGCGAGAGCCATGTCTTGCTGTTGTGCACTGTGGACATGACAAAGGGAGCCACGGCGCAATATTTACGGAACCCCACAACGCGAATTGTCAGTCCTGCATGCAAACTGGCGCCGCCCCCCAAACAAACAACTTCAGGAAAAACCTCAAGAGTATCCCTGAACGACACCGCGAGCCGAACCGGGAGCAGCCAGTCCCCGGAATGTTGAATTGCTTTTGGATTCCTTCCCGCCGCGGAGTTCTGACGGGTTCCGGCTTTCCATTTTCACGTATCGGAAGGTCCGAAGGTTTATCAGACACGAGTTCAGGGATAGGGCGTCCAATTGTGTTTCGCAGAGCAGCCGAGAGAACACAGAACACATGTGCTCCAGAGCATCCCCGGAGCCCCTTAGCTTGGAACCCACGGAACACGGCGGAACACCCTCCCGAACAACCCCGGAAGCCCCCTGGAAAAGACCTTCCGGGGATGTTTCGGAACCTTCCGGACACCCCAAACACCGCAGCACTTCCCCGGAACATTCCCTGGAACGCCCCATCAGAACCATCAGGGAACCCTGGAGGACCCGGAACAATCCCGGAACAACATCACTGGAACCTTGCTTTTGTTTTGCATTGCACCGTGGAATTTTGACAGGTTTCTCAGCTTTCCAATCTTTCCATTTTCAGGGATGGAAAGCTCCATCAAGCACGCGTTCAAGGATTGGCCGGCGTCCTTCTGTGTTGTGGGATTCGTTTTGGCATTCCGCCGGGGAGTCTTGACCGGGTTAAGTGCACTTTGAAACTTTCAAGGATGGAAAGCTCCACCGGGGGCTCAAGTTCAAGGATTGGATCTGCCGAACCCCGCGAGTTGCAGTTTTCCCCTCAGCTGCCGGGCTTGGCTGGCGCATGGCCAAGTCTAGTGGCCCCCTTACCTGGCCGCTCTGAAAGGCAGCCTACCTACACGGGGGGGGGGGGGGCATCTCAAGCTGGACAAGTCGGAGCGCCAACACAGCTATGGCCTACGGAGGCCCTCGACCACCCCGTACGCTGAGATGCCGCAACCTGAAAGTTGCAACCTGGCCCGTTCAGCGCGAAACATCCCCCAAGCATATTCCAACTTTCTGGCATTCAATGTAAATGCCCCAATACGCCCCACACCCGCATTCCAAGGGAGGTGCCCGGTTGCCCGGTTTGTGGATCTCCGCCCAAAAGCAACGCCCCGGCAAAGCCAAGCCGTCCTAACCATGCTTTCAGCATTTCCCCTTTTGCTTCACAAGCAAACCTTGATAAAATGAAATACTCTGCAAAGTGAAAGGTCGGATTCTCATCGTTACGCCGCCACCTCCCTATCCAACGCGCCAGTACAAACTCTTAAATGATGTTCTTGTCCTTTTTTCAGCGGCTGCTTCATGGGGCATGTAGAAGCTCTAGAAACTAGGGCGTGCCAGGGTTTAATCCTTAGGTCATTTTGTCCTTTGGTCAAGCAGGGCAGGACTCGGATTAAAGCCGCCATGCATGCACGCTTCGTACATACTGTAGTCTGTAGATATACTCTTCTATCACATTTTTTCGCATGCTCTATCGTAAAAGTGTAAGTATAGCGCCTGGCAATGAACAGGAGAATCCCCCAAGCAACTCCGCCGTGGATCTGGTGCAGGCCCTCGCCGACGGCCTCCAGGGCCACTCGGCGCTGGAGGTGCTGTATCTTCACGAGAACCGCATCGGCGACGCAGATTTGCAGGCCTTGGGTTGGGGGAGCCCATGCGCGATGCCTTCCGCGGGGCAAGTGCAGCAGTCTGATAGCCTGGGTTTGTGCAGCATCAGATGAGCCCTCCTCTGAACTTCAGCTCGGCTCACTCTTGTGCCGAAAAGGGGGAAGTGGGAGAAATTCTGAAAGGGGTGCTGAGAGCTGGAAGCCAGGAGTTAGAAGCGCTGCCCCAAAACCCTAAAGTTTGTTTGAGCTGAGTTGGAAGCTCAAACCCGTTATTCGTCTGGAGTAGGCCAGATTCAATGTGGCTGAAGGGGTGTTCGGAAGCGAAACTGCAAGGGCAAGTCGTCAAGAGGATTGTAGTTGCCCTCAAGCGTCAGGCACTCCCAACCCGGAAAGACATTAAGCCAACGATATCCGGTGGCGGATCCCGCATGATCCCGCACTTCACAAGGCATCGTGAAAACACAACGCTTCCGGCGTGTGCGTGTCTCTTGCGCAAGTGGCAACGCTGCAGCATGAGCACTTGGGACTCCTGAGCTTTCTCTCTCCGCACACTCCTGGGTGCGGCTGCGCAGGCCTTGGCGGGCGCCCTCCGCAGCCACGGCCGCCTCCGGGACCTCGCCCTTCACAGCAACGGCTTCGCTGACGAGGGCGCGGAGGCGCGCGAGCTTGCCCTGACTGGGCCTGCTCGTCTGCAGGCGTTTGTGGAGCAGCATCCTTCAGCTTCTGCATGTGGCACTCAAAAAAGGCCTCTCAACTCTTAAAAAGTGGGTGCAGGCGCTGGGTGCCGCCCTCGGCTCCTGCCCGCTCCTGCAGGAGGGTGTCTGGCAAAAGGTGAGTGCGACGGATTTGCCGAGCTTCGAGGGGGTGCAAGCTTGGGGATAGCAGCCGAGAGAAGCGCCGACGCCCCTCAAGACTCGAAGCTTACCACAGAACAGCCTGTGAGGAGCTGAGGATTGCCGGGAATTCCATCGGCGACCTTGGGGCCAAGGCGTGTGCGGGGGACTTGTCAGGAGATGCGGGCGGAAGGCACTGAGAATTTGGGGAGTGACAGTCAGGGCTCGGATTCAGGCCGCTGCATGCTTGCTTACGCTTCGTACGCGCTGCAACCAACCCCAACTTGCTTTATGGCATGCCATGGACCCCACCTTCTCCAGAACTTATGCTCCACGGCCCCCAGAATTTTCAAGCTGAAGGCCCTCTAAGCCTTCAAGCCCCAAAAATCAATCAACATCCTGAACGCCAAACATCCCTAAATGTGCTGCAGACGAGTTCAGGGGTCAACTTGTGATTCGATTTTTGTCGTGTCGCTGGTTGCATTTGTTCGGACCATTTCGGCTTTTGCTCCGGTAGCGCTCTCCCCCGTCTGCCCCGCGTACCCACAGAATTGCAAGAGCCGAGTCAGACGGTGCCCCCCCCCCCCCTTTTCTTATGGCTTGCCATTCCAGGCTAGCAAGGTCTCGGGACTGGTTGATGCAGACCTGAGGTTCGGGCCACGGCCCCACAAACCGCCAGTTGAGGCTTCAAACCTGTTGCAAATCGTTGGTGATCCTGTCGTAAGCGTCTTGGTTTTGGGCCATCCCAGCAACTGCGTCGCTTTCGGCCCAAAGACAACCTTTGAATCATTTTGAAGCCTTCTCCTTTGGCCCACACTCCGCGACATCGATCTTAGCCACAACGGCTTCGGCTTCGGACGTGTACTCCTGGCAGAGAACCGGAGTGCTCGCCCCCAAAAGCCCGCATTGCAAATCAATCATATCTATTGATGCAGCGAAGCTGGCCTCTTTGTCGGTAACTCAGCGTTTACATGGGGTGTGCAGCTGGTTGGCATGCTCACAAGGGTTGTGATCTCATGTCTGCGGAGCTTGGCAAAGTGCATGGCTCAGGGGGCTGGGCGTTCAAAGTAGCGTGGTTGCGTGTTACTAACGTCGATATATCTGCCGGACATGCTATCAGACAAAAGCACAGCCTTGGTTTGAAGCTGGGCCTGTGTGCGAGTGGACCGCACCAGCAGCAATACCTAGATGGATGGGGTTGGCAAGGGTCAATACTGATGGCATGGAGGAGAAAGTACATAGACATCCCTTGCAGAGTACCCGAGAGGCCCTCGAGACTCCACTCGGACAGTCTGCAGTCATGCCATCCGGACATCCTGCAGACATTCCATACAGTGCCCACCCCTTGAGAATCCCCCAGAGTACCCTTGGAGTGCCCATTCCTAAAGAATCTCGCCGAGTATCCCTGGAGTCCTGAGAATCCTGCCTGGAGCGCCCGCTGACAGTCCTGCAGAAGCCCAACCCCCTTATGGTGCCATAATTTTTGTAGAAAGCCTTCTTCCAAATCGCACGCAGAGAAGCGTCTCGAAAACAACAGTTGGAACTTGAGAACTTCACGTTCGAGCCGCATTATTCCAACTTTACTCGCTTACGAATTCTAGCAGCTTCTAGAAACATTCTTCGCAGACGATGTGCGAGCCATGTGTTGCTGTTGTGCACTGTGGACATGACAAAGGGAACCACGGCGCAAATGCACGGAACCACACAACACAAATAGTCAGTCCTGCATGCATGGTGCCGCCTCCCAACAAAACAACCTCAGGAAAAACCTCGACTCAAGAATACCCCCGAACCGGGAGCCCCTTGATTTTTGGACCCGCTTTTGGATCCCTAGTTTTTATGGTTTTAGGGTGCGGATGTGGTCGAAATACTTATACAGTGTTCTTTGCGCTTTTTGCTATGCCACGTAGTTCACAAAGGAATGCACATGATTTTAGTCTAGGTTTTTGAGTCTTTCGTTTTTCGTCTTGTGCTGCTTCTTTTCACGTGCACTGTTTGTGCCTTCTGCTTTCGTCCTTTTTTGTGTTTGACTCTCTTTTGGCTTTGCTTTTCTGATTTGTTTGGCAGTCTACATTGACCTTTCCGTTGCTTGTTTGCCTTTGGTACGTCACTCCAACCCTGCCGCTTTTGTCAAAGCCAGGCCAAAGCCAAGTGGCTGCAGGCGTTGACCTCCGCCCAAAACCAACAGCCCCGGCAAAACCAAGCCGTCTAAACCATGCCTTTAAGCATTTTCCCTTTTGCTTCACAAGCAAACCTTGATAGAATGAAATGCTCGGCAAAGTGAAAGATCGGATTCTTGTCGTTAAGCTGCCAGCTCCCCATCCAACGTGCAGTACAAACTCTTGAAGTGATGTTCTTGTCCTTTTTTCAGCGGCTGCTTCATGGGGCATGTACTGTAGCTCTTGAAACTAGGGCGTGCCAGGGCTTAGTCCTTAGGTCATTTTGTCCTTTGGTCAAGCAGGGCAGGACTCGGATTAAAGCTGCCACACACGCACGCTTGGTACGTACTGTAGTCTCTAGTGTATATACTCTTCTATCACATTTTTTCGCATGCTCTATCGTAAAAGTGCGAGCATACCGCGTGGCAATGAACAGGAGAATCCCCCAAGCAACTCGGCCGTGGATCCGGTGCAGGCCCTCGCCGACGGCCTCCAGGGCCACTCGGCGCTGGAGGTGCTTTGGCTCCGCGAGAACCGCATCGGCGACGCAGGTTTGCAGGCCTTGGGTGGGGGAGCCCATGCGCGATGCTTTCCGCTTTCCGCGGGGCAAGTGCAGCAGTCTGATGCCTGGGTTTGTGCAGCATCAGATGAGCCCTCCTCCGAACTTCAGCTCGGCCCACTCCTGTGCCGCAAAGGGGGAAGTGGGAGAAATTCTGAAAGGGGCGCTGGGAGATGGAAGCCAGGAGTCAGAAGCTCTCCCCCAAACCCTAAAATGAATTTGGGCTGCGTGTGAAGCTCAAACCCGTTGTTCGTCTGGAGGAGGGATTCAATGCGGCCGAAAGGGGTGTTCGAAAGCGAAGCTGCAAGGGCAAGTCGTCAAGCGGATTGTAGTTCATGAGTAGTTCATGAGACAGGTGGGAAACCAGTTCACCTCAAGCATCAAGCACTCCCAGCCCAAACCGAAACACGTTGAGCCAACGATATCCATTGGCGGATCCCGCAATTCACAAGGCAACGTGCAAGTGTCTCCTTCGTAGGGCTGGTGAGCTTTCTCTCTCGGCGCGCTCCTGTGCGGGCGCGGCCGCGCAGGCCTTGGCGGGCGCCCTCCGCAGCCACGGCCGCCTCCGGGACCTCAGCCTCGCCCGCAACCGCTTCGGTGACGAGGGCGCCGAGGCCCGCGAGCTTGCCCTGACTGGGCCTGATTGGGCCTGCTCGTCTGCATCTTGCTCCCTTTTTCAGGGGCTGCGTCATGTGTCATGTGGCACCCAGAAACACACTTCCAAGCGCCTTGAAAATGGACATGCAGGCGCTGGGCACCGCCCTCGGCTCCTTGCCGCTCCTGCAGGAGGGTGTCGGCAAAAGGTGAGTGCGACGGATTTGCCGAGCTTCGAGGGGGTGCAAGCTTGGGCATGGCTTGGGGATACCAGGCGAGAGAGACATGCCGACACTCCTGAAAACTCGAAGCCTTCTCCCCACAGAATAGCCTGCGAGGAGCTGAAGCTTAACGGGAACTCCATCGGCGACCTTGGGGCCAAGGCTCGCGGGGGGACTCCTCACGAGATGCGGGCAGGAGGTTTCGGAATTTGGGGAGTGAGAGTCAGGGCTCGGAATCAGGCCGCCCCGTTCTTTACTATGTTTTGTACGTGCTGTTTGACAGAGAAAAGCCGGGAGCAGGCATCGCAACCCCAGGAGACCGAACCACTTGTGGGTACAGAAAATTCCGTCGCTGCCCGTGAACTTGCTTTATCGCATGCCGTGGAACCTGCCTTCGCAGGTACGATGCTCTAACTCTAGGCCCCCAGAATTTTCAAGCTGATGAGCATAGCAAACTCCTCTGAGCCTCTAAGCCCCAAAAATCCCAAAATCAATCAACACCCTGAAGCCCAAACATCCCCATAAGCTGCAGACAAGTTCAGGGGATTCGTTGTTTGTCCCCCACGTACACACAGAATAGAAGGAGCCAAGTCAGACAGTGCCCTCCCCCCCTCCCCCCCCCACTGCATTTCGCTGGTGCCGCTCCAGGCTAGCAATGCCGGACATGCTAGAGGACTATAAGGTAGCCTTGGTTTGAAGCTGGGCACGTGTGCGAGCGGACCGCACAAGGAGCAATACCTGCATGGATGGGGTTGACAAGGGTCAGTATCTCGCCGAGCATCAGTGGAGTCGTGAGAATCCTGCAGAAGCCCAACCCTCTGGGATGGGGGCCAGGGAGGCACGCGCTGGGGGTGCGGGTTGCACGCGCTGGAACGCCATGCAATGCTAGAGGGTAAGGGAAGGGCTTCGGTCGGGGGCCCCTCCTTACCCACTCTACCCCCCCTCGCAGTGCATGCATTTAGCCCTACCACCCTAGCACTGCATGGCGTGCTTCATCTAGGCGTTCCAGTGCATGCCCAACCCCCCGCGCCCCCACCGCTCTTAGGAGGTAGGGGAGGTAGGGGGGGGTAGGGTAGGGGGAAGAGGGGGTGGGGCTAAGGCGCTGCGACATGGGAACAGAACAAAAATGGGAAGGGGAAGGGGAGGAGCACTAAAGGCATGCTGAGAGCGGGGGGGTGTGGGGGTTGGGCATGCACTGGAACGCTGTCGATGAAGCACTAAAGGCATGGGGTGCTGGAAGTTAAGGGAAAGGCTTAGGTGGGGAGGGCGGTACTAAGAAGCAGTGGGTCTTCACTGACGCCGTCCCCGGCTGGGGTCGGCGGATTAATACACAGAAAAAGTAGATGAAGAAGATGCCCCAAACAGCGCCGCAGTGGATCTGGTCTGATGCGGGTCCGTCATGCACGCTCGCTTCGTACATACTGTAGCGTGCGCTCTTCTATCATTTTTTCGCATGTTCTATCGTGAAATTTAGTACAACTCCTTGGAGTGAACAGAGACTCCGCAGCTCCGCAGTGGATCTGGTCCAGGCCCTTGCCGACGGCCTCCGGGGCCACTCGGCACTGGAGGTTCTGTGGCTCTTCCAGAACCGCATCGGCGATGCAGGTTTGCAGGCCCTGGGTGTTGGGTTGGGGGAGCCCATGCACGATGCTCTCCCGACATCGGTGTACATGTCTGTCGAATTGTGTTGGATCTGTGACTTTAACGCTGTGGGACAAGCCTCGGCCGGGGCCTCGCAGGTGGGGAAAGTGAAGGGGAACCGGTTATTCATCTTGCCTTACCTTGCCTCACACGAGGCAAAAGATGAGGGGGAGAGTAACCGCGGAGTGGCGCAGAACCAAACGTTGGAGAGAAGGGGCAGAGGGGTAGTGGTAAGGTGGAAGAAAAGGATGTTGGAAACCTACACGCCCAGGGGGGGAGATACGGTAGAGCATTTAAGAGAGGAGGGTGGGCGGGGGCAGATTCCCCCCCTGGTCTACCTTCTTCTCGCGGGTCTGTGGGCCCCTTCTTGGGATCGGAGCAGACGCCCCTTCCTGGCCTGCAGGCCACCCAGGTCTTGGCTTGCGCAAGGCTTTACCACACACATTGCAGTGGGGCGAGGGCTTGATCCTGGGATTTTAGGGTTTCAGGTTTTTGGGCTCACAGGGTCTTGGGTTTAGGGTTTTAGGGTTTAGAGTTTCCGTTTCCGGGTTTAGGGTTAACGGTAAGGGGGGGAAACCATGGAGGGGTACCTTGGGGTGGGAGGGCCAAGAACGCGCAGCCGCACAACCATATGCAGCTTGAACACATGGGACTTCATGATTGCTTGAATCGATCTCTATCCATGTCTATTCTTATGTATATCCTTAGCTTTCTCTCCTGGCTCGCTCTTGTGCGGGCGCGGCTGCGCAGGCCTTGGCGGGTGCGCTCTGCAGCCACGGCCGCCTCCGGGACCTCAGCCTCGCCCGCAACCGCTTCGGTGACGAGGGCGCCGAGGCCCTCAAGACTCAAGCCCTGCCCTGCATCTTGTCCCTAGCTTCTTGTGGCATCTCGTGAAAGCGGGCATGTGCAGGCGCTCGGGGCCGCCCTCTGCTCCTGGCCGCTCCTGCAGGACCCAAGAAGCTTGTAAAGGTGCGCGCAAACAGGCAGAGAGAAGCGCCATACCCCGAAACTCGAAGCCTTCTCCTGAGGAGCTGAACCTCGACAGGAACTCCATCGGCGACCTTGGGGCCAAGGCTGGGGGGGAGACGCCTCCGGAGATGCGGGCGGAAGGAAATTAGAACTTGGGAAGTCAGGTAGGGGCCTGGACACAAGTACGCAAGTTTATGTTCTTCTTTCGATTGCTGCTGCTACTGCTGCAACCTTCAGCTTAACTTGGAGACCAAGCCTTAATTCAGCCCAAGACGCCTACCTCCCAAACCCGAAGCCGCAAACCCTGAGCCCCGAACCCCAAAGCCAAACCCAGGCCTTGGCTCCGGCTCTGCGAAAACTCACCGGGCTCCGTTTGCTGACTCTTCCTTTCAACGAGCTGGGAGCCGCTGGGAAGGAGGCCGCAGACTCTGCCCGTACGGGTAGCGTACGACAGAGTAGGGGGGGGTTTATAGGGCTTCAAAGTGCAGGGTTAAAAGGTTTTGGGGGGCTCAGAGGGTTTGCAGGGTTTTAGGGGTGTAGTGTTTTATTTTAGGCTCATCGGGTTAAAGGGTATAGCACGGTAGTTTTTCGGGGGCTGGGAAGGAGGCAGGACAGACAAGAACCAACTTAGGTCCAAGGGGTTGGGGCACAAACAGCCCAGGGATTTGGGTTTAAAAGATGGGGGTTTCCGAAAGTAGGGGTACCTTCTTGGGGTCCTTATTATCAGGGATCCTTACTGTTTGGGGGTCTATATGAGGGGTCCCTCATCTCCCAAGCCCAAGCCTTGAGAGCCCTCCAAGGCAGCAGCAAGCCCTGCGAGGTCCAACTTAGGGTTTAGGGTTTAGGGTTTAGGGTTTAGGGTTTAGGGTTGTCCAACGCCAGCAGTTGAATGAGATGGCTCCATTCAAGCAGTCCGGAAGCGTTGCGTTTCCTGAAAGCAATAGGCAGAAACCATACCCATCCCACAAACAAATTGACTTTTACAGATTTCCACCTCGATTGGTTTTGCACTGTCTTGTTGTGGTTCTTTGTTGCGCTGCATGTTGTTCTTGCCTGAGCAGTTCGTTCAGTGCAGCAGAAGCAAGGAACAGCTAGCACATCAAGGGCAAAGCATGGCAAAGCTACTACAGGTGACGGAATAATTATGCGCTAGTTTTAGCTCGTCGTCCCTGCACGTGCAAAAAATGAAGTATTTCCAATGCCTGTTCTAAGTAACCGGGCTCCTTGTGTCCCCCCAAGCCCGAAACCCTAAACTTTAGGCTCTGAACTCTGAACCGTACACCCTGCCCTGATTAAATGGGCCCCCTAGATCGCACCTTCTTCCACGGAGACTTTGCCGCAGGCCGTGACCGCCGCGTGTCAGCACCTCCCGGCACTGGACCTGCAACTCTAGCCGCCCTGCAGCAAACGGAAGGCGCCCCTAAACCTAAGCCAGGCAGGGCCTTGGAGGGACACTTTCGGATTTTCAGTTGTTTTTTGTGGGGTTGTTGGATTGTTTTGGAAGGGAGTGTGCAAAAGGGTCAACACCCGGGAAGGTTTCCTGGGAGCATTTCGCACTTTGAGAGGTGTTGTGGGCGCTTTGAGAGGTGTTTTGGGGCCTTCGGGGCAAGGAGCCGGTTTGAAGGTTTTGATTTTGAGGGTTTTGAGGGGCTTCGCGGGTGAGGGTTTTAGAGCTTCGTGGTTTGGGGCTTCGGGGGTTGAGGGTTGCAGGGTTCAAGGTTTAGGGGGTTGTTTGCTCGTGATTTTCGGCCATTTAATTGGAGTCTTATCCGATTCGGACCCTAATTCCCGGCGACTTCTGCGATTTTACGGGTCTTCTGAAGGCATGGCCGGGTCTTCCGTGGAAAGGGTACTCTTCTCGACACTACGTGGCCTCTTTCTGCTTGGGGTGTCGCTGCAGCAGAAGCAAGCTCGGCGTGCGAGCTGTGTCGCGAGAAGCCGAGGTTTCACTTGCGGCGCGCGCGCATCCAGGCCGTTCGCATGTGGATCCGGGATTGTGCAGAAAGCCTTGGTATCTAAAATTTGAGGTGCTTTGACACGGGCTTTCAAGGTGCAACCATCGTTGAGTCCAGGCCTCCAGTTTCCAGGTAGGGCTCTCTGTAGCTTCCCCCGCCCACAACGGCTGCGGGAGCCCTCCCGAAGTTCCAGGCCCCAAGCCGCGCCCCAAGTCCAAGAAACCCTTCGGTTGGTGTTGTATGAGGCTTTGTGGAGTGTGCTGCTGGGGGGCCTGCCTTGCGGTGCGGCTAGCACTATAGCCGCAGAGTCGCGGTTGCTTTCGTCTACTCCAGCAACAGCACGAACCATCTGCGAGAACGCCGCTGCTGCACTCTAATAGAGTCGGCTTTAGTGCAAGTGCACTATACTAGAGTATGCTGTAGTACTTTGCAGGCAGTATAGGACACTGTCATATGCCATAGTACTGATGCTGTGTTGACAAGCTTGCCCCTTTCTGTGTATGACTGAGACAGGGCACGCTTTGGACTGGTACTAGAGTATGATATTAACGTACTAGTCAAGCCCCAGCAAGAATCGGGCAGAGTGCTGGCATCATCGCAGGTGGCTTGCTGGGTGAGCCAGAACAACCGCCGTAGCTGCGCAGCACATATGCTCCGAATGCGCCGGTACTTGGGCCGCTGCGACTAAAAGGTTGCAGATCGGCTCACGAAATGAAAGTTGTCCTAGCACCTAGGAGGCCCGGTCCGCTGGCGAGTTGCCTTTTTCTGGAGCTAGCTCCGCCTACAGCATCTGACACTATATCGCAGCTGTTCAACGCCTAGCTCAGATGTCCTTGCGGAGCCTTCGTCTTTCGCAAGCCTGAGAAAACGAGGCACTCCCAGGGTTCGTGCTTGCAGCCACTCGTTCATGCGCAAAAATGTGCTGCTCCGGCCAGGGATTCGGAAAGCAGGTTTCCTTCGTTTGCGGCTCAAACGCACACCCTCTAACCGTCCCTATGCAGCTTTGCAGTCGTCCCGCTTTTGAGTTTGTGTGATGTGTTTGCGGCTCAGAGGCCTTAAGAATCCCCACATACAGCTGTGCCTCGAGTCACGAAGCACCTTGAAGAGTCGAGGATGGCTTCTTCACCACAGGAGAGCAGGGGCCCAGCCGCACTTTGGGAGAGAAGGTGCATCGTCAGCATCGTCTGCGGGGGAGAACCCCTTCTACGACCTGCGGGCCGGGGCTCTGCAATTGTCAGTACAGCTGAGCGCCTCTGAGGCGCCTTGGCCTGTTTGCCAGTCGGATTCCCGTACACAAGTACTTCTGGATCCATGTACCTCCATGACTACCGACTCTATAGCCTTCCCGTACCTGCACGTGCGTGCACAAAACACTCCCAGCGCCACCTGTCGCTCTCCCGGACTCCCGTCTCCGGCCGCAGCTAGCTTTGAACAGCCGCTCTCGCCACGAGGTCGGAAAGATGCCCCCCTCCCACCCCCCCCACGGGCTGGGTCGCAGCAGACTCGGAGAGGTCCAGTGCCAGTAGGTCTCCTGGCCAGCGGGCTCCAAGACTTCGCGGGCTTCCAGGCTCGTCACCAGAAAGTCCTGCCGGACACCCGACACCCGAAACGCAAAACCCTCAACCCTGCATGGCACCTTGCGGGATCCTTGCGGGCAACGGCCACCAGGAGGTCCTGACACGGGCAGGCAAAGTGCACAGCAGGAGGGGGACATCGGAGCCCTGCCTGGCCCCCAAGCAGGCGCTTCCCGGCGGGCGGCGTCCATGGCGTGCATGTCCGGGTACGTCTTGGCTGTGCTAGCTTGCCGATCCCATGTAGATGGAACACAATCCGTAAACACCGTGGGCTAATCTGCATGTTTCGGGGCTTTGGAGCTGATTACGTGTTATCAGTGTGTGCGAGTGGCCGGAGCATCCATGCAGGTACGATGATTCTGTTCGTGTTACCAGTACGTGCTTTTTCATGTTACTGGTTTAGGGTTCCGCAGAAGTACATATCTTGTGCAAAATCACAAGTAGTTACGATTTTCGCCCTATTTTTTCCTTTGTTTAGGAAGAACATGAAATCCACCGTAGTTGCCGATGTAAACTGCCTCTTTGCTGTTTCCGGAAATGTCTTTCAGACACCACGGGCGTCCACGCGACGTGTACCATAGGTGGCCAAAGCCTGAAGGCACGTGCAACAGGTATTCGCATCGAGCAAATATCCTGCGAGGCATCGTGCCGCGCAACGTGTAATTGATTGCGACACGTCAATGAGCATCTGGTAGGACTGCCAGCAGTGTCCGAGCACAAAAAGCACAACGGAGCGGTTTTCACTTTCTCTGGGCCTCGTGAGACTCGTGAGAGCTGGTCAAGGAAGGAATGTGATGCCTGGGGCAGAAGGTAGAAGGGAGTGGCCAGACATTGGCGGTCTCGCTTCGTGACTCGGTTAGCAAAGCCAGCCTTGCAACAGTGCTGTGTTCATGTTTAGGCGATTCCGAGGAGTTGTGCTCCCAGGCCTGGTGTCCGACGCTTTTTGGGCTCAAAAACCGCATTGCGCAGCTCCAGCGCAGGGGAGAGGTGAGAGAGACGGACTTCGGGCTTCCCTCCTTGTTGTGGAATGTCGTATAAAGCAGATCTGTACCTGGGAGCGCATTTCACAGCATTTTGGTTTGTTCTTCAAAACTCACAGAAGTAGCACGAAGAGCAGCAGCTTCAGTCAGAAGAAGGCGTGCCTACCACTAGTCCGTCAGCATATCCAGAGTGTTCGCACATCTGCTTGGCAGGCAACCAGACAGTTCACATTTGGTTGACCTTTGGAGGAAGCATTCAGGCAACTTCAGCGGCAGAGTGAAACCATGTGAGAACGAAAGCTGCAGTTTCCTCCCCCTGCTGCTTAATTAACTCTGGGCATCTCCGGTCCCCCGGCCCCTTGCTGATCAACCATCATGGCTTCTGGCGACCCACCGCCGATGGGCAGCTCGCCGACGCTTGGAAGAGAGCCAGTTGTGCTGCGTTTTCCGGGGCAGCCCTCAGCACCTCTGAGGGCCAGCTCTAAGCCCAGAGGGTCCTCCCTGTACAGAGACTTTTGAGACTTCGAAATTTGGTGGTCTTCTTGTTGCCCCTGGTAGGCCGAAGATGTGGGGCGCAGACGTCCTTAAAGCCCCCCGCCATCCCGAAGCTTCGTTCAAGCGAGGCCGGCACCAGCGGTGGCTGCGGGGGAGCCTCGGAGATGGAGATGGCACGTACTGCAGCAGACTGGGCTACTTTGTGGTTTGTTGCTACAGGCATACTGAGTAGTTGCCGGAGCTGCAAAAAATTGCGAGGACAGTACGGTATCCCAGATTCTGTTCTACACTCCAAGGTTGTATGCCTATTCAGACCTCTGAGACCGTGGTAGATTGTAAGGACTAGTCCCAAGCAGTCACATTTTACATGTTGTTTAGGGGGTCTTAGAGCCATGGAGAATCGTACCAAGAAGGACTGCAGTGAGGAATGCAGGGGTTCAGGATTCTTCAGCGCAGAGGGGGGGGGAAGTGACGACATGGCCATGTGTATGTATGTATGTATGTATGTATGTATGTATGTATGTATGTATGTATGTATGTATGTATGTATGTATGTATGTATGTGTAATTATACTACGTATAAGTTTCTGTATGTGCATCTTATCTATATATGTATATGTATATAAATATAGAGACATCGGATGGGGGGAAGTGCAAGTCGGAAATATGAATCTGCGCTCCTTTCAAACTTGATCCTGTGTTCGCGGCGGGGAGGGAGGGGGGGGGGGGGGGGGCAGACTCCTGGAAGCGGCAGCTGGACTAGTGGTCATAGCTCTAAAAGCTCCCCACCCTCGTAGCCTCATCTGGTACTATTAGGGTCTATTCAGCTATTCAGCTGGGGAGGGTGGTGGTAGGTTAGGTCTTTCTACTATGGTATATAGCAGAGAATCCATTCAGATGGGGTAGTTTATGGTAGTAGTTCTTAGTATTGGCCTCTAGTGCCGCTCAAGGACCCTTCCGATCGATCCAGTTTGGATTCTTGGGCTCTGCGTCGACTCGCTCACCTGGAGGAGCGGGGTCAGCTCGTCTTTTGCGCGGGGCCTCGGCCTGAAGGGCCTTTATAGGGCTGAAAGAAGGGTGATAGGGTTTTTAAGGGGTTACAGGGTTTTAAGGGTCTAGGGTTTGTTATGAGGTGAAAAGGTTTCGGGTAAAAGGGTTTAGGGTTATCTATATGGTTCAGGGTTTAGGATCGACGTGTAGCCGTCTTGCACCTTGGAGATCTCGGCGCTGTAGGATTCTTTCGCTCGTGGAGCAAGCCTTGATGAGTACGGTGAACGCACTGTCTTATGAGCCAGTGCAGAGGCCCGTATTCTGGCAGCCTTCTCCCCAGCCGTGCGAGTGCGTGCAGGAGGAAGTGGTGTCCCTCCGTGCCGAGAATTGCAAGCTGAAGCATGACTATGCCGCTCTACGCAAGGAGCAGAACACAGGGGTGCTGCAAGTGGGTCATGTGTTGTTCAATGTTGTTCTTGTCCTTCCGGCGATGTGAGCGTCGGTCCTGTGCAAGTTCAGCAGGCTAGAGACATGCACGCGTGGGCTGAGGCCATGAGCCGAGCTGCCGATGCAAGTGCTGGCACTGGCGAGCGGCAAAGTCCTGTGGCTGTGGTGCGGCGCCTGCGCGACATACAACAATCAATGCGAAGCAGGCCACTTCTCGAGGATCGTCAACGGCCACACCTCAGCCGGTCGCCTTCGCCCCGGCAGCCGCAGTCTGCAAGGGCACGGCTGCATCGCAGTTCATCTCCATCAGGCTCGCAGAGCACCGGCCTCCACCAGACTCCCTGGAGGAAGTACTGGCCCAAAACAGGCCATGAAAGCGCACGGAAGGGAGGACACATTTGGGATGCACCACCCGGCAGAAGTCCCTCACGGCCTTCGAGTCCAAACGTGCGGGGACGCGCTCGGCCCAACCGTCACTATTGGCAGAGTAATGTGCCTGACCTCGCTACGCTGGACAAAGCTCCACAGCCGCGGGACCGCCAGCCAGCTACCCAGTCCATAAGCGTGTCGTGGAGTTCCGAGACAGGACACCGTCGCATCAAAGTGAAGGGATGGGATTTCAATGGATTTCAGTCAGAAAGCAAATTCGTCTTGGCTCCAGGACGTCGGCAGTTCACAACATCAGAGCTCATTGGCCCCTCCGACGTGGTTTCGATGCTTAGCCAGCCGTTGCTCGCTGCTGCGTCACGAGGCACGTTTGCAGGTGCTCACAGCGGTTCTTGCTGAAGTCGACGTCGTTGCAAACTTGTCTTGGCAGGCGATGTCGTTCAAGTACAAGGGATCCTCGAGCATGCTTTGGCAGCAGAGCATCATGAAGACGGACGCCTAGCCGTTTATGAGCTCTTGGCAGCCCGGGACAAAGAAAGCCGCATGCCGCTCCACTGTGCTGCAAGGTATGGCCATGCCCAGGCCATGATGACGACAGTACCTTTTTTTGGTTTTTTCAATGTTTTTTCTGCCTGCGACCTTGTTACGCACCATGAGCAGTCATGGGGTCTTTTCAGAAGGCTGTGTGCGTCTGCCTCGCGGGCAGGCATGTGAACTACTGCTGGATGTACGAGCCGATGTCCACGCACAGGAAGGCGGGCTCTCACAAAACGTCCCACGCGACGTGGTGAAGGGGGGCTGGCCTTGTTGCACAGCTGCTGTACTGGTAGTTTACTTTTGCGTAGGCTACTACTATAGATGTATGTATATTGTATGCATAATTATGTATATACAGATATATCTACATATATGTATATATATATATATATATATATATATAAGTTTATATCCATCTACATACATATATACACGTACTTTCTACGATGCTTTGTGCCTCTGATGCCAGGCCACGGCGCCACGTCCTTGGCCCTGGCTTGTCTGCACGGCCACCGCGCCGTGGTGCACTGCCTTTTGCGACGCCGGGCGCGGCCGGAGCGGAGCGACCACAGGGGCCGGCGCCTGGACCAAAGTACGTGGCGTAGCGTAGTACGCATATACTCCGCAGGACAGTAATTAAATGTTCTGCCAACTAGTCCAAGACCACTCTGAGGGCGCTCACAGACTAGTTCAAGACCATTTGAAGAGAGCACACTCCAGAGCCCAAGAGCGACAGCAGTCCTGCATTGCCACGACAATGCCAAAGAAAACCCTCTCGTAGAATCTGAGAAATTGGCGCACACGAAGCCCACCATAGCCCACCTCGAACTTCGTCTATGTCCGATACCCGTGACCTTCCCTACAGAATCTTCAGGAATATGGAAACCTCCCGAGAAAATCTTCTCTCCATAGAAGGCCTTAACAGTTGCTTCTTCCCATCGTTCTTGATGCAACCAGCAATCCGGATACCAGCCCAAGCTGCATAAGAACGTGATTTCTCTGGAAGCGAGCCTCGAGATGTGCACGGGACGCAGGCGGGAGCAGGACTTTTGAGTACAAGTACGGAATGTGCACGGGACCTAGGCGAGGGTAGAGGCCCTGAGATGCGAACACGTGTTCAAATACGCACGGTGCCCCTATAAGGCAAGAGACCCTCCGGCCCCAGAAGAAATTATCAGAAGGCCATCGATTTTGAGGCCGGTGTGTGGGCGGCGACAACTGCAAAGTACAAACACGTCTTGCGGGACACAGGTTTTTTTGCCGATCGCGAACTGAGTGCCTGAGTGCCATCTCAGGCCAATAAATTGCACATTCAATCGATTTGGGGATTTGCCCTCCAGAATCATTTGAGTCTCATCCATGTCCATTGGTTACGTTTCCCGCCTTTACTCCAACGAGCCCAAAAGCTGCTTCGCACCGGTCGTCGGTTTCTCAGGGTTATGAATATTTGCGAGCATATGTAGCCTTCCCCCTTTCAGCCCAAGTTAAAAGTATAATGCTGAACACGAAGCCACGTGCTGTGCACATCTCTGAGGAATGCCTTCCACTTCGTGGCTTGGCGTGGGCAGCAGGATTGGGGTTCAGGGTCTGGCGGTCGCACTGCCGATACCTGTGTGGATAATCTCAGGTACCGAGGCTTCTCAACATAAATCAACCTAAACTCCCTGTTTCTTGTTCATGTTGGGGGCGGTCAGGGAATCGACTCCTCATGGTGCCTTCGGGGATCTTCGGATTCAGAGCTGCAGGCCTACACAATGATATGCAACATGGCATCGTTCGTCTAGTCCAGTCGAGTACAGTACAGCATAGTATTGTACGGCATGTGATATAGCACAGCATGGCATAGTATAATACAGTGTTATATATGTAGTTGTTCTGTTCTGTACAGGGCTGTCGGTCCTGCTTGGGCGTGTCCCAGAACTTGTTGCACTCAGTGTTGTTGCTCAACCAATGCCTAGCAGCATGCATTCGCAATAGTACTTGTGCTCGGTGAAAATGGAGGCGTAATCTAGAGCAGCGGGAGTGGGCAGGGATTGCAGGCCCCCGTAGGCCCCCGTAACCCGGCACAGTAAAAACGGTATGATGTCGCCAAACATGAAAGTGGATGTATATTCAATGGCCACGCAGCCTTGTGCATGGCCATGACCTCGCAGTTGAAGCTGACCTTCAGCTGAAAAGGCATGCGTGTCAAAGCGTGCGATGTTCTCAGCAGCTTCAGATCTCCCTTCTCCACAAAGCCACTAACCCGAGGAGAACATCTGGAGACACCACATAACACACTGAAGATCTTCATGTCATGGAACGCCTTGCTGATGCAGAGTGCAAGTCGCGGACTTGCTCGGAGCATCTCCCAAAGCGGCTCGCTTCCGGAGCCCAGCAGGGTCCAAAGCGTTTGTCCCTCGCGTTGTCGACGTTGGGCGCGTGTCCGCCCAACCTGCGCGCTTTGCGTGACTGACTTGTCGCATCGTAGCATCATCGAGCCTCTGGGAGGCATTTCTCCAGCAGCAGCTCGCCGACTGGTCCCGAATCTCTGTGCATGGCCTCGGGTGACCCTGGAACTCTGGGAGGGCCCAGATGTCGCCATAGGCCAGGATCTCACCAACGCACATCTGTCGCCACCATCATCCCAATCACCTTCCTCTACCATGGCGGCTGTGCCCTGAACTGGGGCGGAACTGGGGCGGAACCGGGGCGGAACCGGGGGCTACTGGGCATCTTTTGTGCCCTGTCCCTCGAGCCCACATGGCCACGAGTATCACATGGTTTCATATGCCTGATGACACCCTAAGCCCCAAACTCCAAACCCTCCTGCTAGGGATCTGAGTCTGAGTGCCGAGGCCTGCTGCCACGACCCAGAGATAGTCTGCGACCTGCTGCAGAATTTCCGGGGCTTGCCGTTCTTGAAGGTGCCTTACTTTCCTGTAGTGTACAGTAGCCTATAGTGAGTTCATATTTAGGGCACAGGTATTTTACAGCATGTAGCATCTGCAAGTATGCAGTAAACAGACGAAATCTATCGCATGTAGCATGCTGTACTGTGCAGCGTGATTCGGCACTTGGCTGCCAGGACGGGGATGGGCGGAACGCGCTCTTCTTTGCCATGGGCAACCGAAGCGAAGAATCAAAGATGGAGATTCTCAGACTACTTCTGGAGGAAAAGTGCAGCGCACGCGAGGTGGGCCGCTGGCACGAAACACGGAACCCGTGCAACGAAGCATCCTCCAGTCCCCTTTGCATTTGGAGCAGACTTCTTGCTGTTAGGGGACACTTGGCAGGCCGACTCCTTCGGCTGCACGGCGCTGTCCTACGCGGAGCAAGCAGGCCGGGTAAGAGCGGAACACCAATCCCACAGCTCTAGCCTCCCTTGGAGAAGGAGCTCCAGACCCGAATCCCGTACCAGCGCGAGCCAATGGAGCCTCTTTTGAATCGACTTCTTCCTTTCGCACTGGAAGCAGCTGTAACAGGGAAGACAGGACCAAGCCTAAGCTGGGTGCGAAGAGCAGGAGAAGAAGGTGCCGGTAGAAGCAGGAGAAGCAGCAGCGGGAACAGGAAGAGAAGAGTCCGTTGTATCAGCATAAGAGCTGGTGGTTACTGTATTCAGGCAACCCTCAAAGATGCAAAAACCCAAGCCTGCAGCAGTTTCTCCGCTTCCAGACATGTGCCAGCCCAGCTTACACTTTTTTTCAGATGAGTGAGTCCCTGATTTCGAGTGTACAGGCGAAGAGAAGGTGGTGGCACTGCTGCTTCGGGCTGTGGACTTGGAGATGCCTTTGCACCTCCAGGCATCCTTGAAAACCAGCTTTGGTTTTGAGGTTTATTCCCCACTTTCGGTGCGGGGTCGTTCAGGTTTCTTCTAGGTCTCAGGTCAACCATGCTCCGCGCCTGCTTGCTTCCTCGTGTCCCGCCTGGACTAGAGTTCCCACCCCAGAGGGAGTGCCCACCCCGGAGAAGCCTGCAGAGACCGGTGGAGTGCCCACCCTCAGAGAAGCCTGCAGCGAGTCCCGTCGAGTATCCCCAAAGGTGCCCACCTCCAAAGAAGGATGGACTTTTCTCTTGACATGGGGCTATCATCTCACTTCAAGCTTGTGCTCAGGGTCCTTGACTTCGAGTCTAGAGTCTGGAGCCCATGAGGATAAGAGGTCAAGCCTCGGGCTTTGTGGAACACCTGCGCGAACCTCTTCAAGCAGGTGTTTGTTGAAGGCTGCCAGGAAAACATGCCCAGAAGTAGCCAACCCGCCATGAGACACCCGATAAGCTTGAAGAACCACACGTAGCCGCGTCTCAGTGTGGAAAAGGCCTGTAAGCCTGAACTTGAAAAACCTTCTGCAGACTGTGTCATGTGGACATCGCAGCAAGATGACGCTAGTGGCTGGTGTACATTATTGGAAGTAGTCCTTATCACAAGCTTGACTGCACCAATCTTGTGGCAGGACAACAGTGAGCGGTCTTGTAGGGATTCTCGAATGGCAGCTGCATTGTAAGCCCCCTTGACTTGTGCCTTGGGATAGTGCTTTGTGCAGCAATAAGCTGGGCTTACCAAAATAAGGGACACCTGGAATAGACCCCCAAATTGTAGGATAACCTTATCATAAGGACCCCCAACAAGGTACCCTAATTCGGGAGACGACCCAGTAGGAGTTCACTGTTTCTTCATGGTTCCGGAGGCCTCGCTTCCGGACCGGCAGCCGGGGCCGGAGAGCGGCTCTGGAGCATTGGGCGCTGACGGCGCTGACGTTTCTGACGTTCAGGTGGATGGGCGGGTTCAAGTTCATGGTGCTTTGCGGTCCAAAGGAGTGATCTCTGGAAGAATCTGATTTTTGAGATCGCACTAGCAGAGACTTTGCAGCATGGGATCCTCAGCCAAAGGACGGTTGCACTTGAAGGCGGTCAGGAAAGGGCGCAGGTTGATGGAGCAAGCGCTCACAAAGTGGCCGGATGTATTTTGCAAGCAGCGGCATGTTGCCATATGTTGCCATCATCTCGCGCTCTATATCCAAGCACTAGAAAAGTGGCGCTTCTGGGGAGCACAACCCTGGAGCGGCGTGCCTGCACGGGACTTCAGGGCTTGGGTTTGGCGCAGGCGCCTTGCTGAAGGTGCAACGGAGCTGCACGTTCATGCTGGACACCCTATACAGCCCCTGATCTCAGAGTGTGAGTCGAAGTGCATGCGCCCGTGCAAAGCCCAACCAGGCCTCGCCGTGTACACGCACAATACCTGTGGCCACCTGCAAAGACTGTAGCACGCCATGAACTTTCGTGACATACTCAGCTGCAGGTTAACACGCAGTCGAGCTAGCACCTTTGCCTGTAGCCACGTTCTGAAGTTTGCGGTTCTCGTTCACGAGCCCTCTCAACCCTAAACCCCGAGCCCTGCAGGGGTGGTTGACAAGTGCCCATGACGAAGCCGTGCAGGTCACAGGGCGAGACGCAGCAGGCACAGATTGCCGGGATGCAAAGCTCAATTCCACGGGTGTGTGTTGGCTTATGTTGGCTCCAGTTGGGTCTGCGCTGTGATATCCGTGCAGGAACATGGAAGAAATCTCGAATGGGGTCTACTCCAGCTTGTCAGCACCCGAACCGTTTCGCTTGCAAGCTGCGCTCCGCCAGAGGCAGCGCGGAGCCAGTGGCGCTTGAGGAGCAGGGCGTGGACCAGGCACAGCCAGCTTCTTGTGGCTGAGTGACCTGATCCTGGATTGTTTCCTGAGCAGGTGGCCGCGACAAAGACAGGCTGGGTCCACGAGTGTTCAAGCCAGCAGCTTGCACAGCCCCCACCACAAAAAGACGCATATTTGGTCATGAGAACACGCGGAGAGAAAGCCCAAACTCTCACTGAAGTTTTCCGCTCTCCAGGCGTCGATGCCACGAAGCCAGCTGGCATGCCGGAGCAGGCCGATCATGGCTTGTCATCAAACTGGTTTGCCTTGGAGGAGGCGTTAGCCGTTGAGTTGTGGAATATTTTTGGACGCCTCAAGACAAAGTAGGCCACAACTTTCAATGAGCGTGGGTATGCGTGGGTCGCACGGTCTCTACCTGTACACTGTACCTGAAGCAAGGGCCCTGCTTTGAGTTCGTCGGGTTGTTGAGCTTGGCATTCGGCCAGTGTGGAAGAACTCGGATGTCTAAAGAAGTCCAATCCAATTTTCATGCAGGCAAACCAAGACATATTGGTGTTTGTCGCGTTTGTGCCTGGTGTTCAACCAGTGGTGTTGTGCATGCCGCACCTCATGGCAGAGCCGGGGGTGACAACAACTGCACTCCTGTGTCACACCCAAGCTGCAGCCACTCCTGTGCAAACTTCCAGGTTCGGGTGCCACACGGTTTCCAGGTGTGTATCGTCCTATCATCCATGAGGGCAACGAAAGCGCTCTAAAGACCCTATAACTTTCGGGAACGTCGAAGCGCACAGCGCACACTCGCAGGAAGCGGAAGCTGAAGAAGTGAAGGCCGGCGTGGTTTGGGGTCATCAGGGTTCAGGGTTTCGGATCCTACTAGTTCTTAGGAGTTTGCCTTATAGCCCCCTTGCCTGACCCTTCAAGGAGCGTGAGCGTTCCCGGAGATCCCTTAAAGGGTATGCTCAAGGAGGGGAGTGTTGGCCGCAGTAGCATCAGGCCTGGGCGCCCAGAGTCAGGGCACATCAGGGCACAGTGTAGGGATGGTTTAGGGTTTAGGGTTTAGGGTTCTAGGGTTTAGGGATTACGCTTATCAGATGTTCAGCCCGAAGCACTGCTGCATAGTGCAATGCACTGCAGTATGTCATATTATGTCATCACCTGCTGCATCAGGCTCTGGTACTGGAAGGTCATCCACTCTCTAAGCCATGCAATGGAACATAGGAATGACGTGACACGAGATGATACTAAAGGCATGAGATGAAACGACATGTCGTACAGTAAAGTAAATGAAATTTATTAATGTGCGAAAAGCAGCACTCTAGCTGCAGGGACCCCTCGGTTGACCCCAAGCCTTTCCCGTTCGAGGAAGGCGAAGAAACCACGCACCTTGTGCCCTGCACAGGCCCAGTACAGCCTGCGGGATACTGCCGGCCTGGTCGGCTTTTGCAGGGACGCCGATGTGCGGCTCCTGCGGCCCCAGTACTTGCAAGAGCTGCACGAGGCCGGACGCGCGTGGCCCCGCAGGCAGGAAGCCGAGCAGGAGTACACGAAGGATGGGAAGGAAGCGCTCTACACGCAGGAGGAGCTGCAGGAGAAGGTTTGCCTGGGCTGGGAGCGGTTCACGGTCTTCGCCCTGTCGCATGTGTGGGAATCGCGCGAGCATCCGGACCCTGCTCGGCACCAGCTCCGGCCTCAGTCGTGCTCAATGTGCAAGTATCATCTTGTTTCCTTGGCGGAAGTTGTGGTAGCGGGTGTAGCAGGTGTAACGGAAAGCTTGGCTTGGAGCCTGCCTTGCATCTGACCTGCCAGGGCGTCGGCACCTGTCAAGCAGTCACGGCGCGTTGCCGGCGCTGAGGCTGGGAGTCCTGGTGGAAGCGCTGCGCGACTTCCGGGACTTCTTGCGGAAGCTCGCCCCTGTGGAGTCGGAGAGGGTCCACGCCGACTGGGAGGCGGCCATTCAATGTCTAGCAGCATGCTGCGCAAAAACGCAGTCTTCGCTATGACTGGCGCGTTGGCAGTTAGCGGCCCTGTTAAGCTCTTCAATGATACAACTTGTCTAAAATATGTCTAAAATCAAACCAGCTCCACCCTGTTCTGTTTTGAGACAGCACGTACTTTCTGCAAGGATCAAGAATTATTAAGGTGGGGCAGGGTGGGTGATGATGTGTCTGGCATATGTCCATTGATTCAATCTTTGCCAGGCCGCGGTCTTCATAGACTACAGCTCCCTCTACCAATTCCAGCGGTTGCCCCACCAGGACGCGTCAGCTTGGTAAGCTTAGGCCATGGCAGCCGGTAGCCCTGCCACTCCTTGACCCGCAGCCTCACAGAAAACGTAAAACGGTGGGCCAGGATGCGTCCTTCAAGAAAGCCATGGGCAATATGCATGTCGTCTACTCGCACGACGAGAGCTTCACTTTGCGGATCGAGGGCCTCACCCCGGGGCTCCACGACCCCGACCGGCCCAAGCCCGAGCTTAGCCATCAGAAAGTGTCCGTCTTCCACGTGCCCAGGAACGCCGTGGTGGACGTGTCCCTGGCAGAGCTCCGTGACACAAACGACAAGGGGAAGTGCCCGTCCTGTGGCGATGAAGGCTGCGCCCAGCTCCACAGAAATGGCGTGGAGTACCAGCGTCGCGGCTGGTGCTCCGCCGAAGCACAATGGTCCGCCGCGAGGGCTGAGCCTTGGCACAGCATCCCCATCCCCTTCCGGGAGGGGGCGGTGGGCACCGCGCCGATGGCGCCGGCGGATTTCCGAGCCTTCGCGGAGAAAGGACACCTTCGCTTCACCCACCGCTCCGACCTGGAGCCCGTAGTCCAGCTTCAAGCCAGAGTCTTTGAAGAGAAGGCCGCTGCTTGCACGAGCCTCGTGCTCCCACACCTCCCATCTGACGAGGTGAAGACACTTTGCTGCGCGTTGCCCTACTTCCCGAAGCTGGAGAAGCTGAACGTCAATCGCAGCCAGGTAGGGACCACGGTCCAGGCCCGGGCGGCTTCTTGCTTTCTGCTGTTTCAGCTCTTTTCCCTCATCTTCTCGCCCTGTAGGCCCTGGTGCGGGCGTTGCCTTGGCCGCAGATGCGGGAGCTGACGCTGACCACTTGCCAACTCGGGGACGCGGAGGCGCAGGTCCGACCTGCCAGGAGGGCCATGCACAGCTGGGAGTGACTGCGGGGCTGGGGGTCCCATGCATGTAAGCTTTTGACGCGTGTTTGCGCACTGGAAGCACGCTTGTCCACTGGGTGTGCGGCACGTGCTCCGGCTCCGACATGGGTGTTGACGCCGGAAAGTGATCTCAACTTTTTTCACACATATGTGATTGAGCCGCCGCGATCGTCGGAGACCCGCATCTGAGTGTCACCCTTGCATGTGCAACTGTGTAACAACTTCTGAGAATTTGGGAGGGCCTGGTGGAGAACGCTAGATGCTCCCTCCTGCTCTCCTGCCGTGGAGGATGCCGAAGCCCGGCGCCTTTTTCAGGTTCAGCGCCCTGAACTCATTGTAAGAGCTCCTCGGGAAGAACGCTTCTTCTTGAACTGCCCCACGTCTTACGAAGTCTCGCTCGTCCGCGGTGACCTGCTTTCTTGCGCCGACTTCAGCGCACGCTCCGGTGTGAAGTGTCTCTGTCTCATGCCAGGCTCGTTGCGGTGCGCAATTCAGTGTGTAGTTTAGGTGGTTCGAGTTATAGAGCTTCAACGTGCAGTTCTTGCAAATTTGAGCTCCAGTGGAGCATATTCTTCTTCAATGTGATCATGCGAGCCTGAAAGTCCATCAGGAACCAGGTACAAGGAGATCCACCTTCGTACTTGTAGGAGTGAGACACTAGGGAGTTATTATCTTTCAGCCGCTACCTCCCCATCTAGCCTCTTCTAGAAGCTCTACACAGTCATTGAAGCTTGACCAATCCTTTGCTGCAAGCCCTCGCGCACGTTGCCCTTCACAACCCTAGTAATTCACAGAAGGAGCAGACCCCCCTTACTGTTTATCGGCTTGCCGTTCCAGGATAGAAGGTCGCTGTCTCCGTGACTGGAAGTGATTCAACCCCCGATTTTAGGTCTGCCCCGCTGTGTCTAGGGCCATGGCTCCACCACCAGTTTAGGCTTCAAATGAGCATCAGTCAAAACTGTTAAACTGGCGGCTGTTGCGAGGTACTTAGCGTGGAACACCGAGTACCAAAACCCTGCAAAGTGACGGGACCACTTGAAAAGCGACACCCCCCACCGAAGAGGCAAATCGTTGGGCATCCCCCCCAAATTGCCGCCGAGCATCCCGCAGAGTATCTCTGGCGTGGCCCAAGAATCCCCCAGAGCATTCTGCAGAGCATAGCAGAATGTCTTGGAGTGCCTGCCCGTTTTGGAGTCCTGAGAATATCTGAGAATCTTGCCTGGAGCGCCCACCCCTTGAGAACAGGTGCCCGGTTTCCCTGTTTGTAGATGCAACGTAGACGTTGTGGCCCGAGCGTTTAAGCACGGACACATCGTTTCTTGCATTCGGACTGTTCGTTCTTCTTGCGTTGTTTTTGTTGTGCGTTGGCGCTACTTTCAGATACTATCTCCCATTGCCGCGTCCCACAGGCTATCCCTGGAGTGCTGTTAGTTGTAGGGGCATTGTTGGGCTTTAGGATGGGGATGTTTTTGAAATACATACTTTGTATTCTGTGCGCGTTCTGCTCTGCCATGTTGTTGGCGTACAGGCCACAGTTGGCCGCGCATAGTTTAATTTTTTTTTGGTGGGGGGTGGGGGGGAGGGGTTGGGGGGGGGGGGGGGGGGGGGGTGTTCCAGCGTTTTCGCCTGTTTGTGCAACATACTGTGCAAGACTGCGGAACAAGACACGTTGTCACAGCCTTTGGCGACCATGCCCATTTCCCCTTTGAAGCAAGCACCTTAGTGGCTGCTTCATGATTCATGTGGCATGCAGCTCTTGAAATGGGCGTGCGCGGGCAGTGGGTGCCGCCCTCTGCTGCTTGGGAGATGCGGGCACAGCCTTTAGTCCTTTCGTCACGAAGGGCAGGACTAGCCCGCCCACTGTCGCCTCCAGGAGATCCTGCACAGAATCCTCAAATTCGTCCCCGCAGAATCTCGCAGAGACTCGCTTTTTGCGTTGCCGCTACTTTGTGGTCTCAAACCTCGCAGTTCATTTCGCCTTTGCGCATTGCTTTTGTTTGTTTGTGCGGCTTTCCGTGTCTCGTGCTTCTGTTTGTTATTTGTTTGCTTTTTCAAGTTTGCTGTGTGGCACTGGCGGCAGAAAATCAGTGGCTTGCCGCAGAACTTGCCCTGGAACCTGGCTTCGCTAAGTTTATGCTCAGGTTCAGGCCCCCAGAACTTTCAAGCTGATGGCCTGCAAGCCTCCCTATCTCAATCCCAAGCTCAGGGGGTTCAAGTTGTGAGTCTGTGGGGTCCAAGGTCGGATTTTCGGGCCCTCGCCCCTCCCCCCCCGCTCCCACCCCACGTACACATAGAATAGCTCTTGAATGGTCGCCAGTACGACTTGGCAAGAGCCACGTCAGACCCTGCCCCCGCCCTCCTCCCCCCCTCCTCCACCCTTTACTGTATATTGGCTTGCCGTTCAAAGGTAGCAAGGTCTCTGGAATTCTTCCTTGCGTTTGAACCGACTCAGACCCTTATTCAGGGTCTGAATCGCTGCGGTTCGGGCCATGGCCCCCCAAGCCGCCAGTTCAGGCTTCAAACGTGTTGCAATCGTTGGCATCCTTGTAAGTGCCTTCGTTTTCGGAAGAGATTCCAAGCCTTGGCATCCCAGAAGCTGCATCGCGGGGCGTGCTCGTCTGCATCTTGTTCCCTGTTTCAGCGGCTGCGTCATATGGCACCCCAAACACACTTCCAAACGTCTTGAACATGGACATGCAGGTGCTGGGCGCCGCCCTCGGCTCCTGGCCGCTCCTGCAGGAGGGTGTCTCGGATTTGCCGAGCTTCGAGGGGGTGCAAGCTCGGGGATGGCTTGGGGACAGCAGGCGAGAGAGAGATGCCGACACCCCTGAAAACTCGAAGCCTTCTCCCCACAGAACGGCCTGCGAGGAGCTGAGACTCGCCAGGAACTCCATCGGCGACCTTGGGGCCAAGGCTCGGGAATTACTCTTCAGGAGATGTGGGCGGAAGGGATTAAGAGTTGGGAAGTCAAGGCTCGGATTCAGGCCGCCAGCGCACTTTTGCCAGACAGCGCAACCCCAAGAGACCCACTCTCTCGTGAGCCCGGAACATCAATCGCTGCCCGTGAACTCGCCATATCTTGCCGTGGAACCTGCCTTCTCCAGTATCTCCAGGCCCCCAACAACTTTCAAGCTGATGGCCATAGCACAAATCTTCGAAGCCTCTAAGCCCAAAAATCAATCCTTTGAAATCCCATAAGCTGCAGACGAGTTCAGGGGGTGATCTTGTGATTCGGTTTTTGTCGGGTCGCAAGTGGGAATTTTCGGGACAGCCTCGGCTTTTTTGCTCGAGCAATGGTGGGGGTGCAGCCCCCGAAAATACATGCAGAATAGCTCTTGAATTGATCGCCTGCACAAAACCTTCACAGACTTGGTAAGAGCCCCCTCACCGCTTACTGTTGCCTGGCTTGGTGACCACCTGTACTCCTTGCTTGGCAGGGAACAACCGCAATGTATTCGTATTCCTGGAGTGCTCACCCTCCTAAAATCGCGCAGCAAACAAATTCTGCAGAGCATTCCCGGAGTGCCCACCCCCAAAACATCTCGCCGGAGTGCCCACCCCGTGAGAATCCCGCAGCAGACCGACCCCTTATGGTGAACCAACAAAGTTGAAACGTACGCAGCCTAATTCCCTTCATAGCACGAAAACGGATATACGACGTACACCTCTTGAAAATAGAAGTTGGAACCTGATAACTTCGCGTTCCAAGTTTACTTGTTCCAACTTGCTCGCTCGCGAACTTGAACAACTTGTAAATTGGCATGGAACGCATTCGTAGCATGGGGCGATGTGCGAGCCATGTCTTGCTGTTGTGCACTGCGACATAACCAAGGGAACCACGAGACAAATACAGGGAGCCGCAGCGCGAACAGTTAGTGCACGTATGCAACCTGGCGTCGCCCCGAAAACAAACCGGGAGCAGCCCGCCCCTGGAATTTTGGGACCGCTGTTGGATTCTGCCGTGGAGTTTCGACAGGTTCCGACTTTCCGTGTTTTCACGGAACAGGAGCTCCACATAAGACAAGACTTCAAGGATTTGGACACAACGCCCGAGAACACAGAACACGCCCCAGAGCATCCCCGGAGCCCCTCAGTGTGGAACCAACGGAACAGCGCCGGAACACTCTCCCAAACAGGCAGGCCCCTGGAGAAGACCTTCTGGAAACCTTCCGGAAACCTTCCGGAAACCTTCCGGAAACCTGCCAGAAACCTTCCGTACTCCCCGAAGCACCGCAACACTTCCCGGGAAACACACCCCGCCGCATACTTACTTACGCTTCGTACGCGCTGTAGCCAACCCCAACATGCTTCATGGCATGCCGTGGAACCTGTCTTCTCCAGAATTTATGCTCCAGGGCCCCCAGAATTTTCAAGCTGATGGCCATAGCAAAACCCCTCTAAGCCTCAAAGCCCCAAGAATCAATCAACATCCTGAACGCCAAACATCTCTAAATGTGCTGCAGACGAGTTCAGAGCGTCAACTTGTGATTCGATTTTTGTAGTGTCGCCGGTTGGATTTGTTCGGACCATTCGGGTAGCGCTCCCCCCCGTCTGCCCCACGTAGAGCCAAGTCAGACGGTGACCCCCCCCCCCCCCCCCCCCCCCCCCCCACTGTATTTCGGCTTGCCGTTCCAGGCTTGATGCAGACCTGTGGCTCGGGCCACGGCCCCACAAACCGCCAGTTTAGGCTTCAAACCTGTTGCAAATCTTTGGCGATCCTGTCGTCAGTGTCTTCGTTTTCGGCCATCCCAGGAACTGCGTCGCTTTCCGGCCCAAAGACATCCTTGGAATCCTTCTTCTCCGGCCTAAACACTCCGGGACCTCGATCTTAGCCACAGCGGCTTCGGCTTCAGACCTGTGCTCCTGGCAGAGAACGACCGCAAAAGGATCCCCCGGAGTGCTCACCCCCCAAAAGCCCGCAGAGAATCCCACAGAGCTCAGCCGAAGAATTTTTCTGCAGGGAC